AATCGGAAAGTAAAAGACCGCTTACCGGACCCAACATCCAACAAGGCCTGCAATCTCCTGCCGTGAAATATGCGGCTCATCATGGCAAACGATGATTCGCGCGCGCATCTCATCCGATACCTGAGGCGCAACAAAAGTTGGGTTTGAGAAATACAAAATTCCCAAAGTCGTCGTAATGCGTGACAAAATGTGACGAACATACAATGCCAAACATAATTTTCACGATTCCGGTGTGCAAACGGCAATGCAAAACACTGTAGGAGCCTGTAAAATGGCAGGCTTTTGTTACCTCGCCTTTCAAAGCCAATTTCCGCACAGCCACCTCCATCATGGATTTTTTGTAAAATAATGAATAGCAAGTTGTTTTGAGTGTTTATATTGATCGATATACTCCTACAAGGTCACAGTGTGTGTATGGTCCTCCTCGGAACCTCCCCAACCTCCTTTTTAGGTGAAGCTTGGGTGAAGTCCTTTTTTTTTTCAGGCCTGACGGCTGGACCTACCCACCAGCCTCCGGTCTGGCATTCTAATCCCGACACCCCCTTGCGGGTGAGAGAAAATCTAAAATCTATTCCCCGTCACAGCCTGTCACACGACCACTTTATCTTATCTTTTCTACAACAATCTCAACCAATTACGACCACCTGGTATTTGGGATGATACTTACAGATAAAAAAATAGATAATACAAGGGTGGTTGGGTGGTCGTACACCAACAAGCGAACGATACCCAAGACTAAAACGGAGATTCAAGCTCTTCAGACACTCCCTCAACACCACGAGCCTCACGAAGTCGATCTCTCCGAATATCATCCTTTATGTGCTCCAAGTCAAGCTCAAGATCAACATTGCCGTTCTCTGGCCAGCGGTCTAGTGCCCACGCCAGCATCCCAGGGCTAGCCTACCAACCAACAACCAAAAAGTCAATCAGAAACGAATAGGGTAAAGAGGACGATGAACGGACCCTAAAGTATCGCCTGCTGGAGAATTTCTTGTACAGTGATTCATGCTGAACCGGGTTGGTCAGGATATACTCCAACATAATATTCGCAATCGGCAAAATCTCCTCCTCCGAATAAGTGGTATAGTGTGCGAGATTCGGCGTCTGGACAAAGAAAAATACTCAATCAATAACGAACCCCACCTCAAGAAACGCAACAACATACCCATTCATCCCGTCCCAAAGTGAGCCTAGCGAGCCACAAAGCAGCCGCAGAAATCAACGACGGCACAACGGCCACCAACTTCCATTCCAAGCACCCAATTTCAATAAGATACTTCGCAATAGTCCTCGCCTTGGTCTCAGAATGATCCGCCTTGCTCCCCCTTCTCAACCAATTCATCGCGCCAGGAGCTCTCAAGTCCCAATTCAAAGTTTTGAGAATATACCGTTCCGCCTTGAGGATGTCATCAGCGGTATACTGCTTGTCAGCAAGGGCTACCATCTCTGCTACGGAGGGCGCGTAGGTCTCCTCAAACTTCGTAGCGATCAAGAAAGACGCAAGGCCGACGAGCTGGAGTCTGCCAATTGAGATTTGACGTCTGGAGAGGAAGCGGTCAAGGACGTTGACTGAGAGGAGGAATGATTCTTGTAGCATGTTGAAGCGAGCGTGGACTTGGAGGATCCAATCAACCAGAATACCGCGATGTTCCCAGGTGATCTCGGCTTGACGATTCATGTAATCGCCTTGAGGGAGCGTCTCGACCTTGTGGAAAATGAGCTTCAAACCCTATGATCATTGATCCAAAGCATACCTCGAGCTCTTTCCAATACTTGCACACCTCCACAACATACTCGCTAACCATGAAGGGGTCATCCCAGTCACCCGCATCGAGATCATCCCAGAGTTCAACGGGCTCTTCTTTGAATTCAGGAACGGCTTTCGCGTCTGCTTCAATGAGCTCCGCTGCAATCCTATCTGCTTCAATTTGAGATTCATCCTGTTGAATAGGCTCCTCCGGGATGTCTACATGTCGTCTTTTGAAAACGCGATGACCTTCTTCCACGTCGTCAACTTCTTGCTTGAGAAGGGCTTTGCCTCTCGCAGCAGCAGCAGTCGTCGTCGTCCTAGTTTGAGTTTCTGCCTTTGCAGCAAAAGAAGGCACTTTCTTGGTAGCGGCGCGCTTCAGCGCAACTCTCTCAGTAACAGAGCCTTCTTCCGTGCCAGTGGTCTTGGAAGAAGCAGTGGTAGAAACGCTGGCTCCCCTCACGTGTTTCGCAATGCCACTCGCCGCAGCAGCAGGACGAGCTCGCAAGACCTTGGACACCGTAGGCTTCTTCGCTACTTCACTCTCCTTTTCTTTCCCCTTCGCAGTCGTCGACTCTTTCCCCTTCACAGTTGTCGTTGACGACGCCTTTCCTTTGGTCTTGTTGTTCGTCACTAGTCCCGTAACCTCCACCAACACCTCCCGTTTTCTCTTCCCCGCACTTGTCTCGGCCTCGGGGGCAAGCGCCTTGGCCTTGGAGGCTGCAGTGGCGGCGGTGGCGCGAGTGGTGACTGGTGCCAGTGGCTCAGCTGCGAGCGTTTTGGAGCGGGTGGCTACGCGTGAGGGGCGGGCATTGGCATTCTCGGTGTTCTTCGTCGCGCGGGTTACCCTCGTCGTCTTGCGGACCTGTATCGCCTGGGGTTTTAGTTGGGTAGTAGTAGGAGCTCAAGATGTAGTCAGTCTTACGGGGATTGTGGACATTTTTTTTGGAATAGATAGAAAATGAATAGAAAAAAGAAATATGAATAAGAAAATGGGACGAGAGTTGGTGGAAGACAAGGAGTTGCTGAAGCCACCAGCAAGCAAACGACAAGAAGATCGATGCTGGGATCAAGACACACACACAAATAATGCGAACGCGTCCAAAGATCACGTGCTCGCGCGTCGCGTCCTTAATTGCCTCGCGTCACAGGCGACATTGGCGAACGGAACTGGACTATCGGGAACCGATGAAAAAATGGAGAGAGGGGAGGAGAGCCACCTGCACCAACCCCCCTCAGTAATATATCTATAAGGGAGTTTGAGATCCGAAAAATAAGGGTTGACGTTGGACGCTCGAGTCCGCATGCAAAAAAGGCGCTCTCATATACGACTTGCATACGATTTATTACGTGGAATGCAGTCCTTACTGACAAGTTATCTCCTGTTTTCTTCGGGTAAGATGAAGGGCTTGCCGCACCAACATCGTCATGCAAGGCTCGCCGTACCATCGACTCTTACCAGCTACATTTCTTTTTTTCTAAAAAGTTCTGAATATCAAATTGAATCGACAGACGTTCTTCGTTTTTAGCGCGAGGCAGAACACGCCTCTCCCCCAAAACATGAGCTCTAAGCCTTTCTCAAACCGCTATCAATATTTTACGTACACACAGCCTCACTAAAACCTCAATTCAGCAAAGGGTGGGGATCAGCGGAGGATTGATGAGTGAAATTGACGTCACAAGTGACAGAAACAAAGCGAACATAGGCACGTGCCCAAAAACAAGGTTACGTATATAAACTTAAAGTGCACTCGTCGCGTCGCGATTGCTCATCTTCCTTCCCCTTCCTCAAAACCACAAAAACACAATCAAATCATGCCCGGACCAAGCTCTTCGTACGTCCCCCCACTTCTCTCGATCCCAAAACGATTCCCTAGCTCATCTTTGTCATCAAAGGCACATATTTGGCGAAATCCAAGGAGCCCCCGTTGGCACACACTTCATAGACCGTAAAGAATTGGCACAAGCAGGCGTTCACGCAGGCAACCAGCAAGGCATCTGGGGATCCAGTGAATTTGGTGCTTACTCTATCGTGCTTAACGGAGGATATGTGGATGATGATGATATGGGAGAGACTCTGTGAGTTGTCTTTCATAATTCTGCTCTATTGCACTTGAAACTGATGTGCTTTTCTTGTGTGGTGAAGCATATATACAGGCCATGGTTCGTTTTTTTTTTTCAATTTTAGGTTTCAAACATGACTGAGCCACTTACGTCCGTTATCCAGGTCAGGGTCGTGGAAAAGACGGAAAAGAACGCAGACACCCAGTTAGTACCCTATTCAAGCTACGTATTGCTCACTGATACGAAATTCTCAGCGCTTCGATGTTGGTCCTCAAGTAGGCGATCAAGAATGGGTGCGTGGCAATGCCGCGATGAGGGTAAGTGACTCCTGCTTTCCCCACACTTTCGCTCTCCATTATTCACTGAGTCATATTCTGTCCAGGTATCGGCCGAGACTGGCCGTCCAGTACGCGTCATTCGCGGCCCTGAAGGGAACGAGGACTATTCACCTATCGAAGGGTTTGTCTTTCCCATCTCCTTTTCGGTCTACGTAGTTCTCAAAGTGATTTTTTTTCACAGGTATCGTTATGACGGCCTATACAAAGTCGTCCGCGCATGGCAAGAAAAAGGAAAAGCAGGATTCCTGATGTGTAAATTCCTTCTCCAGGCAAGTTCTTTTCCCTTCCCTCACACTGCTTACAAAGTCTCACTTACCTGACCTCCTAGCGTCTCCCCTCCCAACGTCCCCTGCCCCGACCAAACCGCCCCGCCAAATGGTGGGACCCCCGTCCCTCCGAACTTGGGTTGTCTAGGGCACCAATCACCTGGCCGGAGAAACGCCAGGTTATGGATGAGGAGAAGGATGCGAAGATGAGAGAAGAACAACAGGCAAACAATCAAACTGCACCTGTTCATCATTGGGTCCCTTCGTCTAGTCGACAGCAGGAAACAACGTCAACGGTCCCTCCACGTAACGGCCTTTTGAAGATCAGGGGCAGATATACAACCTTTGGCTCCAAGTAGTATTTCACTCATCTTTCACACTTTGTGTATATCTTGTTTTTCTGGCTCTCTATCCCTCTCTATCGATTATCTCTTCATCTGTATTATATTTAACCAATCTGTAGCAACTTGTTCTGTGCCTGCTTTAATCTCCCATGTCTCCTCTCCGTTTGCATAACTAAAATACTCATTATTTAATCCTCCAAACCTTGCCGAACATCAACAGCCTCTCTCACTCCCTCGCCCCCCAAAACGGCCTGAACAGCATCCAACCCCCTCTCCGAAAGTGGCGTTGGCGGCTCCACGTCCACAGCGATTGACTCAGAAGACGATGGTGGCCCGGGTATCCACTCCATCTCAATCTCAACATCCACAATCCCACTCCCCAACCCAACAGGGAAATCGAGCTCTTTCCGCGTCAACACAAACTTTGTCTTGCTCGGAGGGGATGATGTTTCTGGGGAAGGAGGAGGGGGAGGCATGTGGAAAGTCGGTATGAACCATAGCCAGCCCATGAATACCTGTCCATCGACATTACTCTAGCGAAAGGAAAGAGAAGAGAAGAGAAAAGAGAAACCGACCTGTCCCATGTGAAGCTTCACCCTCACCTCCCTCGCCGCATCCAACACCACTCCCTCATTCGGAGTGACCGCCCCCGATCCCGAGCCTGAGATTGTCGGGTAATGCTCATGCGTCGAAACAATATCCGAGCGCGAGATACTTATCCGTTCCATCTCGATGATATCTTTCGGGTCCGAGTCACCACCACTCTCGTGCTGCAGCTCGGCTTTGACGCCTTCCCATCGTTCTTCGGTGAGCTTGGTGAGGGTGTACGTGATTAGTGTGTCGTCTTTGTCTTTGTCTTTATCCTTATCCTTTGCTTTTGCTTTGAGTTTGTCCTGCCATTGCACAGTAAGTCAGAGATTTTAAGGAAGCAAAAAGAACAAAAAAACCAACCTCCCCAAACCTCGCAAAACTACGAACCATCTTCTCCCTATCCCACCTCCCACCCTCAAACACCTTCTCAACATCATCCACGTCCGCGTTGTCCCCATCTTTAGGCATACGTTCCGACCCAGGCCTTCGACGATCTCCCAACCCACCACTCTCACTCCTCGTCCACACTTCCCACTTTTCCAAAAGTCCTACAAGGGAATCGTCATACCTCGCCAACGAAGCCCACACCTGCGTGATCGTAGTCGTCTCCTGCGTAGGCCCAGGAGCCTTCCCCAATCCCGCTCGACCAATGATCAAGCTGGCCCCTTTGACCAAACCAAGCTTCACACTCGACGTTTCGCGCATCCGGACATTGATCTGGGTTAACCGTACCCTAGGCCTTGGTTTCTCTGAGTCCGGGTCCGAGTCCGGGTCCAAACGTTTGGTAGAATTGATAGGCCAGACGTCCTTTGGCGCTTCACCCGCGAGAAGGAGGGCCCAGTAATATAACCAGCGTCGCTGGCTGGGTATGCTGACGCCCTGTTTCACTTTCTTCTTCTTCTCCAGCTCGGATGTTGGAGGAGGGGATTTCATACGGCGCGCGGTGTGTAGGTCCAGCACGCCCTTGAGCGTGTGCGTGAATGAGTTTTTGGGGTTGGAGGGTGGTGGGGTGGTGGAAGGATGTGCTGCTGGTTCGCCAACGGAATCGATGATGCCCACTGTATCTGATTCCGATATGTCAGGTTCCTTGGGCGATGGTAGGGTGTGTTTGAGCGAACTTGAAGAAGGGCGGCCTTCTTCCGGTAGAACACCAATAGTGTTGTCGGCGCGTCGTTTAGCCCATTGTTTAGGCGTATAACTCCTTTCGAGTTGTGGTGCTGAGGGCTGATCACCGAGGGTGAGGAGGTAGGTGCAGGCCATGGTCCCTGATCGGCCTTTGCCAGCTACATAAGTGTGTTGGCGCCTTGAATAAAGAGGATAAGCATGAAGTCACAGTACCTTTGCAGTGAAGAACAGCAACACGCTCCTGGTCTCCGTCCAACCAAGCGCGCATCTCTCGAGCGACCAAAGGCAGGTAGGCGAGTGGTGGAACGCTAACAGGCTCAGTCAGGCCAGCAATTGCAATATAGAGGCCAACTCGACGACTGACTGGTGATCTGGGAAGGGATACCTACTAACCCTCCCATCAAAGAACACATTATCATACGAATTCTCCTTCAACGGGCAAAAATTGAAGACCCAGTATTTCTTCGGGTGTCGATGGTCTAAGAACCTCTTGGCGTCCTCGCGTCGGTTTCGATAGAGTCCTTCCAGTCCGGAGGCTGGGTAGCCCATGATGATGATGTTGTCTGTGACGTAGACGAGATCTGCAGCGCTAGGTTAGACTGCGGGGGAGATTGAGGGGTGGATAGGATGGATTGACCGAGGTCGAGGTTGAGTGCGTCGTCCTTGAAGCGAGCTTTTCCACCGGAGACAATGCGCCTGAGATAGTCTGTCATTGGAGGAGGTGCAGTCAAGATGGAGTGCGGTGGTGAGGAGGTGGTAATAGACGGAGGAGTTGACGTTTCCGGAAGAACGTGACGTCATCATCTCTTACAAAGTTTACTAGCGTACTGAGTTCGTCCTTCGTCCGTCCAGCCACCCCCGTCCATTCGACGCTGAGCGCCGAGTTCTCGCATCCCAGCAGTCCTCGACGAGCTTCCTGTTGCCACCTGGTTCGCCTTTTGAACTAACTTGGGAAACGTGAGCAAAAGAGGAATCTGAAGAAACTGCACAAGACGAGGCTCTTCGTCATCGTCAAATCGGTCGAAGATGCCCTACGTGCGGCGAACGAGTGAAAGGTGGATGTGTTGGTCGTACATGGTCCGTTTAATCTTGTGTCTTGCGAAGAAGTAACCCATCATTTACAACTTGATGCGTGATATGTAAGAACCGAAGCTGATGGACAGGGTGGCTCAACCGCACGCACCCCTCCTCCTAAACATCTTCCAAGGTGTCCTCGACGCCATTCCCGGCGACGATTCAATTGTCAGGGTGTGGCTTCGCACGCGTGAATGATGATCGATGACACAGACCTGTCAGCTTCCTACCTCCGCCACTCAGCCCTCAGGAGCCGTCACCGCCTCTAGAAAAACACAGTTCCCATGTTTCGGGAGTAAGTATACGTGACCGATGGTATGTCAGTTATGTTTGATTGTCCAGGACCAACTGTACTTAACCAACTTACAGTACCTTCAATCATGGTTTTGCAGAATCCACTGCTCAAGCTCTCATCACACGTTTTTGCCTACCCTGTGAATGAGTGAAAGGTGGAATGCGGCTCACGTATGGCGTTTACAGTGTGTGTCATTCATAAGAAACGTCACAGACAGTGCGCATATTCTCACTTTCCCCATAACTAGTTCTTCCTCCTCCAACCTCGTCCCGGGGATGGAAAATCCCAATCACCAGCATAGCGAACATACCACTATGAATGGTCAGTATTCCACCCACTTTCTATACCCTTGGTTGGTTTAGGAGCTAAATCATCACTCAGCGGACGATAAGACCCCGCAACGCCGGCCTCACTGACCATCTGCCACCTGGCGTAGACCTTGATTCCAAGACCACGCCCGATAAGCCGCGTATGCCCTGCGGCCATAAATTGATCGCTAGAAACCTCATCGTCTGTATTGACGGGACGTCGAACCAGTTTGGAGAGAAGGTGAGTGCAGGGTTCCCGAATATCCGTTTAGGATATCGATGCATTCAACGATCAGAACACAAACGTCATCGAATTGTACAACCTCATATTGAAGAAGGTTGCGGATAACCAAAGGATGTGGTACAATAGTGGGATCGGCACTTACGCTCGCCCATCGTGGAAGTCGCTCGATTTCTACAAGAAGGTTCTTTATCACAAGATTGACTTGGCGATTGCATGGTAGGTCATGGCTCTACTTCTCGCCGATTATGCTTTAATTTTCCCTTTGATAATTCACGGATTTTGAGCGAACGGTTTTGGGTGCATACCGCTGGTTGTCGGATAATTATGAGGAAGACGATTGTATATTTCTATTCGGTGTGTCCATCACGATCCTTATCTTCATGTACGCGTCTTGACTCGTGCTAGGGTTCTCTCGAGGAGCATTCCAAGTTCGAGTGCTCTCGGCGATGATTGATAAGGTGTGACTCGCTTGTGTTTGCAAACAGCTCGTTGACTGAGGTCTCTCGGAACCTCAGGTCGGTCTGGTCTTCAAGGGGAATGAAATGCAGATACCATTGAGATTTCCGCATTTTTCATGCACTCATTGAACATGTTCAGTGCATATGAGCTGTACGTCGAAGGGACGCAGAACATGGCCAAACATTTTAAGGAAACCTTCTGCAACGAGGATGTGAAAGTGCACTTTGTTGGAGCCTGGTGCCTTATTTAAATTGTCACAACAGACAAACGAAATGACTGATGGGGTATTACTATTAGGGATACTGTTTCGTCAATTGGGATTGCACGTGGGAAATCCATGCTTCCACGGACAGTCGACGGGATGATGCATGTTTGCTATTTCCGCCATGCACTCGCGCTTGATGAGCGGCGGGTCAAGTTCCTCCCTGAATACGCCTACAGGGGATCCGCCACTAAACCCGCCGCTGAACCTATGAAACCGATAAACAACACCGGAGGCACGTGGGCCGTGATCCAAATTGTTATCTGCACTCAGGCTGACACCAAGTTGGTACAGACTCCACGGGAACGCTTTCACAAACAAAGGAGGTTTGGTTTGCAGGGACGCACTTAGATATGTCAGTTTATTTTCACTTGCTTATAAGTTGATCACTAATCTTTGACATTTAGTGGTGGTGGAAGTGTATATAACCAAGAGATGGACCGTAGCACGCCGCCGTTAAGATGGATGGTCTTCGAGGCGGGGGCAGCTGGCCTTCGCACAAAGCCATTCAAGCGTGAACTCAAGGAGAATGAACAGATTAATATCATCGAATCTCTGACAGGGCCCTGGCTTCTCTTTGAGATCTGTCCATTCAAAAGACTGACATTTACACGCAAGGAAGATGTCAAATGAAAGACTACTCGAAGGTGAGTTTGTAGGTGGCTGCAATCGTAATTATTGATCAAGGCATCTGTTAGGCCTCACCTTGGTTCAGGCCGGAAGATTCACCCGGGTCAGAAGATCCACAGCTCATTAGTGCGGGCTGTTGGGTCGAGAGCTGATAATTACACCCCGAAAGCACGTCCTCCTCTCGATGGTAACGGTTCATTCTGGAAGATGCTGCGCGACAAGGAGAAGCAGCCTATGGACGAGTGGCTGGAACTCGATTTGTACGAACACAGCAAATTCGCAGTCGAGAAACTTGTTACTGAGGGCGACGCTACCACCTTGAAGTCTCTGCATCACACATCTATATCGGGTAAGCTTTCTCATCCTTGATGTTTTTTCATTCAATTCAAGGGTTTCAGGGGATGCTTGTCAGGCTGTATACGGGAGTGTGATCAAAGCCCTGCAGAAGGAGGGACTTACCCTCCAAAACAAGCATCTGCTCCTGTGCACCACGATGGAGCTACTATGGCGGAGCCCTCGGGATTATATGCTGAGCCCTTCAAGCGAAGTCAGACCTCGTTTGTCAGACCTTGCTCGCAACAGTGAATATCGGCAAACGGCATGGGATTTTGTGACACTCTTCACAAATTGTAAGCCAGCTCTACATCTTTGTTCACCCATCAGTGGTTGCTGATCTTACCCCGCACAGTTGTCAAAGTCGTTGAGATACGAGAAGATTCCTCTAATTTTCTAGCGATCTCGCCTGATGGGACACACGTAGCGTCTGGCTCGAAGAACGGTCGGATGATTCAGGTGTGGGAAGCAGAAAAGATGTTTCAGATCTTGGATGTGGGGGATGATCACACAGTACCCGGGATGAGACAACGAGAGGAGTATCGTCACGGTTTACGCACGATGAGAGAACGGTTAGAACAAGCAGTGCGGGTGCAGGCCCAGCTACACCAAGCTCAGGTCACAGATGTTGCGTTTTCACCCGACGGCACGCGCATAGTATCTGGCTCGAGCGACGGGACAGTTCGGATCTCGGATGCAGAAACTGGCAGCCTGGTGGGAGAGCCATGGCGAGGACATGATTGCCAGGTTTGGTCCGTCGCGTTTTCACCTGACGGCACGCGCATAGTGTCTGGCTCAGGTGACGAGACAGTGCGGATCTGGGATGCAAAAACTGGTAGCCCGGTGGGAAAGCCATTGGAAGGACATGATGGCGAGGTCAAGTCCGTCGCGTTCTCTCCAGACGGCATCCTCCTAGTATCTGGCTCGGTCGACAAGACAGTTCGGATCTGGCATGTAGAAACTGGTCGCCCGGTGGGAAAGCCATTGGAAGGACATGATGGCGAGGTCAAGTCCGTCGCGTTCTCACCTGACGGCACGCGCGTAGTATCTGGCTCGGACGACTGGACAATTCGAATCTGGGATGCCAAAACTGGCACCACGGTGGGAGTGCCATTGCGAGGACACCGTGATTGTGTTTTATCTGTCGCCTTCTCACCAGACGGCAAGCGCATAGGGTCTGGGTCGCGTGATAGGACAGTTCGGATCTGGGATGCAGAAATCGGTATCCCATCGGGAGAGCCATTGCAAGGACACAATCAACCAGTCAAGCTCGTGGCTTTCTCACTGGATAGCACGCGCATAATGTCTATGTGTCACCGCACAGTTAGAACCTGGGATCTAGGACCTCTCGCACTGCTGAACCCGACGATCTACGTAGGACAAGGATTTCTTGCGGTTATTTCACCAGTCGTACAATTTAGCAACGATGTTTAATAACTGTAATGACTTTGCTGCGCGCAACACAATGTAAACTGTCCGATGTTCAAAGCTGGGTGCAGCTCGCAGGGCAGGGTGACCATGTTTGTAGCTGCTACGAGAAAAAATAGTGGAAAAAAATGCCACTAACTGGCCTTCCCATGCACGCACGATTTCGCGGGGGCGGAGCAGTGGTGCGTCGCTGCGTGTTGGGCTTCGTCCAGGATGCGTGCTGCATTTGTGGGGTTGTTGGAATTGGAAAGGAATCGTCGCGAAGAGAGAGAGTGGACGCGTGCTAAGAGGTCGTCTACGTTGGCACGTAGCTGTTCATGGGGTGGTGAGGAGGTGGTAGTCAATGTGTCGGAGATTTATTTCTTTTGTCACAACCGGCCGAAATTGGGACGGCATTGAATCGGCATTCTAACCAGTGCTAACCGTTGAAAGTTCTTTATTTTTCCATTCTTTAGCCCAAAATTGGCTACAATCACGCCGGAACTCCCGTTGCCAGTTGCCACCCTGGATGGGACCAAAGTTGTAACCAAAAACTCTTTGGTTGCTCTTAATTATGACGGCAATTTTGATAAGTTAGAACCGGTTGAGATGCCGAATTAGAAAACTCCGACATTGTTTTCGGGAGAAAGTGACGTCATCACTTTGAATTGCCCGAATTGGAATATACATCGTTTATAAAGACGGAGACAGACTACAGTGAGCCGTATAAGCAATGCATCCTCTTACGACCAAGTTTACCGCCCTAATGAGTCCGTCCATCGTCACCCACGTCCATTCGACGCTGAATTCACTGAATAAGACATTCAGAGCCCCATCGTGGGGGCTCCCATGTACTTTGCGACGACGCCAGACATGGTAGTAGCTGTCAGTGGCAGTGGGGGTTTTGGATTCATCGCAGCAGGTTAGTATATGTAACCACCAACTCGATCGATCTCCATCCATAAGGGAAAAAAAACTATCAGGGTTTGAAAGCTCCGAAACCCTGAAAAAGCAACTGCAGTACGTCCGTTCCAAACTCAACGTAGCAGCGGGTATTCCCCTCCCTACCGGGGTCGGACTCCTCGGCTGGATCCTCGATAAAACGGAAATCTCAGACGACCCTCGCATCCCAGCGGTCCTTGACGAGCTGCCTGCTGCCATCTGGTTCGCCTTTGGAACTAATCTGGGAAAATACGTAGAACACGTCCGAGCGTACGATGAAAAGAGGGATCCGGAGAAACCCCACAAGACCCTTGTCTTTGTCATCGTCAATTCAGTCGAAGATGCCCTGCGTGCGGCGAACGAGTGGAAGGTCGATGTGTTGGTCGTACAAGGTCCGTTTTGCCAGTGTGTCTGCGAAAGATTTCGATTTACTTGCATGATAGGAACTGAAGCTGGTGGCCACGGCGGCGCATCCGCACCACCCCTTCTGAACCTCCTCCAAGGTGTCCTTGACGCCATTCCGACCGACGGTCCAGCCATCATCGCAGCAGGCGGCATATCCACCGGCGCACAAATAGCTGCTCTCCTCACACTAGGCGCATCAGGAGTCGTCCTCGGCACACGATTCCTCTTCACTCCCGAATGCATGTACTCCGACCAGATGAAAGCCGTTCTCCTCGACGCGGGCCTCAATTCTACTGCACGCAGCCTGGCATTTGACGAGATCAACAGAACTGCAATGTGGCCGGAAGGTATTGATGGTCGGGCAATTGCTAACAACATCTTGGTCGATTACAGGGAGGGTAAATTAGACTTGGAAACGCGGTTGAAGAAGGCTGATGCAGATAAGGCAAACGGGAAGACAGACCGTCTCGTCATTTGGGCAGGGGTAGGGGTCGGGCATGTCAAGGAGATTAAAGGTGCTTCCGTGAGTTCCTACCCTTTTGAACACTCGTTTAGAGGTTGACTTGGTTGTGACAGGAGGTGCTGCGGTGTTTGCACGAGGAGACGGTCGCAGCGTTGATAACAATTGCTCAGCTACAATAATATGGTTGATTGAGACCGATCTCCACATTATATCCAGTGGATATAGCCTGCAAATACGTCTCTGTTGGCGTACTCATCGGTGAGTGCACCTGTCATTCGCTCAGGCTGTTACGCGCGAAAGCTGGGTTCGACTCCCAGACAGAGAGTATTAGCCTCCTATAGATGTCGTTGAATTTTAGTGTTCACAGCTGGCAGATACGGCTAAAATCTAGAGGTTGACTTGGTTGACTTGCGACAGGAGGTCCTGCGGTGTTTGCACGAGGAGACGGTCGCAGCGTCGATAAAAATTGCTCAATATGTAATATGGTTGTTCGACACCGATCTCCACATTATGTCCAGTGGATACAACTTGCACGTACGTTGGTGTACTCATCGGTGAGCGCGCTTGTCATCGCTCAAGCTGCTATGCGCGAAAGCTGGGTTCGACTCCCAGACAGAGAGCTCCGGCTGGGCCATTTTCTCTCTCTCAGGCTGTCATTGATTAAATTTATGGTTCATCTAAAATAGAGAGGCTGACGGGAGGTGCTGCGGTGTTTGCACGAGGAGACGGTCGCAGCGAAAATTTGCTAAAATAATATGGTTGTTTGAGACCGACCTCCAAGTTATATCCAGCGAATATAGCTTGCACATACGTCTCTGTTGGTATAGTCATCTCATCGCTCAGGCTGGTACGCGCGAAAGCTGGGTTCGACTCCCAGACAGAGAGCTTCGCGTGGGTTCCCTTTTTTTCTCTCTCAGGCTGTCATCAATTAATTTTAGTGTTCAACTAAAATCTAGAGGTTGACGGGAGGTCCTGCGGTGTTTGCACGAGGAGACAGCTACAATAGTATCCAGATTATATGCAGTGGATATACAGCTTGCACGTATGCCTCTGTTGGTGTACTTAGTCGCTAGTCACTAGTCATTGGTGAGTGCGCTTGTCATCGCTCAAGCTGTTACGCGCGAAAGCTGGGTTCGACTCCCAGACAGAGAGTGTCGCAGGATTCGTTTTTTCCCTCAAGTAAATTTAGTGTTCACCTGGAGCGGACTAAAATTTAGTCTAGCTTATTATGTAATATGTGGAGTGGATTGGTAAGCCGCAAGTTTCATTATCAAGATGCTGAGAAATCAGATATCATCAGTTTCGAGCATATAAAGGGTAGTTACATTGTCATCATAGCAATAAGTTGGCAATAAGTATTACTCTTGAAGCTTGAAGCATCATGACAATCCTCATCACAGGCGGAACAGGAAAGACGGGGCTGAAGCTTGCTCATGTACTGAATGAAGCTGGCCACGCCGTTCTCCTCACTTCTCGCGAGGGCGAGGTACCCCATCCATTCAAAGGCGTCAAACTCGACTGGCTCGACCCATCAACCTTCACCAATCCATTCGACGCCGACCCAGCAATCGACCGCGTTTACGTCGTGGGGCCAATCGGGGTTCTGGATACCCTTCCGCACGTGAAGCCCTTCATCGATCTTGCGCTGACCAAAGGTGTCAAGCGATTCGTTGTACTAAGCGGCAGCCCGGTCCCCAAAGGAGGTCCGATCGCAGGGAAGGTGCATGAGTATCTGGCAGAGATTGGCGTGGACTATGCAGTTCTACGTCCAACTTGGTTTATAGGTATGCACCACGCCATGTCCCCCTGTGGGTTGAGCTAACGCAACGTCCAAATAGAGAACTTTTCCACCGCATTCGTTGCGCCTATTCGTGCACACAACCGGATCGTCTCAGCTGCGAAGGACGGGCGGCTCGCGTTCGTTTCGGTCGACGACATTGCCCAGGCTGCGTCGGATGCTTTGCTCGACGAGAAGAGCTGGAACTCCGACCGATACATCGTAGGCCCCGAGTTGTTTTCGTACGATGAGGTGCGTACTGTACCTAGAAAGGGGAGGCAATAGCTGAACTCAAGTTCTATCATAAAGGTCGCAGCTTTACTCAGCAAAGTCCTTGGAAGGGAGATAAAGCACAAAAGGCTAACCGAAGATGAATCGCGTTCGATCTTCACATCAGTCGTCGGCCTGGACGTCGAATATGCCAACTTCCTGGTAAATGCCGAGGCACAGATCGCAGATGGGGCAGAGGTGGCTGTATTTGAGAGTGACAACAAGATCGTTGGCAAGAAGCACCTTCAAGAGTTCTTTGAAACTAATAGGGAGACGTGGGTAATTTGAACGGGGATAAGGCGCTGATGATGATTCTGGATTCAAAGATTCATTGTATGACCATTTGTAACATATACTGGAATCACCTACTGCGTGATCAGAACAATTGTTTAGTGTTGGTATGAAGTTCTTTCGATAGGGCTGCAAATAAAGATCAGAAGAACTATATTTTGCGACGCTTCCTGCTTCGAAGAGTTTCCAGGTTCTCCTCTTTGCGATCCTCCACTCTCTGCAGGAACTCCACCTTTTCCAGATATCCGCCACTACGCCGGTTAGCTTCCAATTCGTCCTTGATTCCCGAAGCTTGTTCATTCTGAACATGTGCTTGCCAATCCATCGCGGATTTACCAAGCGTTGATATCTTCTTGGCTTTAGAAGGAGCAGGCAACGCTGAAAGGGTAGTCTTTGCTTTTCGTGGGCCAGGTTTCTTCGCAGGAGTCTTGGTCGTCACGCTGGGTTGTGTGGACGGTCCCGCCGTGGCATCGAGCAGCGTAGGAGGAGTTGTAGACCCTTCTGCCGCGGGATCGATCCACCGTGGCCACCTCTTAGCATCTTCCGAATTCTCTAGAACCTCAATCACCTCACTGGCCATGGCGTATGTTATAGCTGCGTTGAGAGAAGTCAAGATATGAAACTCACACAGTCTCCTCACCAGCAAATCGATATCTCCGCTCCACCTTGACCATCTTCTCGTCCTGGACTTCACGAGTAGTCGCCACTGAAGCCTCAAAGTTCGACCAAATTTCGTTCAAGTCACTAGCAAATTCATATTGGATCACTCATAGTCCCCGTATGCAAAATTAACCCTACCGTTTCCCTTTCTCATCGCTTTCCGCACCTGGGGTGTCGTGAGATATAGCAGGTTCCTCTGATTCAGAGTCTTCATCACCGGATGAATGAGCGTCTTCGGCAAGGTCTTCGGGGCCGTCAGTCCCGCCAACAGGTATAATAGAGCTTCACTCGCCATCTTCAGCTGGTGGAACGTAGTCTCCGTCGTCTTCAGAGTCCGAATCGTTCAATTTTGCTCTAGTCATGATGATGGTTTTACTCAAGGCGCCGTTGACAACAGGAACAAATACGTCAAGACCCGTTGACGGTTGACAACAGGGGGGTTCGTTTCAATCAAGCATTGGAGAGTCGAATGTGGTCAGTTCGCATGCCGACGTACTTTTGTTAAATTATTTGAGGCCTCCTGGAGGTTTGATAGCAAAGCACTTGCGTCTCCATCGCCTGTCGAGCACCTCCATCTAAAAATAGCTTTCGTCGTACACCCATCTTCATTTATTTCTAAACGACAGCACCAGGGCGACGCAAATGCGACGCTCGTAATAAGTCGGCGGAATGAAATTTGGACACTGATATTCCACATCCTCTTGTAGTTCTTCCGTATCTTTGTTGAAAATCATTGAGCGTTTTATCAGCCAATGCGATAACGGTCCCAGCTTTTTGCGGACTTGTTTATTATACGCGTCCACTGTCCTGTCAACGCCTTCGACACGCGCGTACTAAAGTAGCGAAGAAGTGACATAGTCATTGGGCAAAACCCCGACTCAACAAAAAAAGAAAAAAAGCTAGACCGTATGATTCCCAGTTACTATAATGTCCTTTCAACTGCAGGGAGAAGTCATACTGCACAGCTCTTAGGCCCAATCACCATCAATTTCTCTGGCCACTCTATCCGAATCAGCGTCATATTCCGCCTGAGTCCTGTCCGCACCGTTGGGATGTGCGTGAAGTCCGGAGTGCGCATCCCCAGGTGGAAGAATAATGCGTCCTTGTCCGTAATATCTCGAGTGGATGAACGAGGTGATGAGTGCGAGCGGGAATAGCACAGTAAAGATAATGACCGTGATCTTGAGATGGATATTCGGTATCAGTTGTGTAACAAGAAGAAAAAAACGTACATAGACAGGGGAGGGCTTGGGTCGGTAGCTCCATATACTCACACAAACCCAAGTCGCGGCAACACAACATACAATATCCCGACGTAGGAGTACTGCGATTAAACCCAGAAGATTTGTTCCGAGTACTACGCCAAATCCAGTCCAAGCGTGCCATTTCGAGTAGTCTCTCGGTGATCCCGGCACTGTTGGGGTGAACGACAGGCCCAGAGTGACGCTACATAACCTAATAAGCGGAGTCATTCACGGACACAGAGCAAAATGACGTACAAAAGACAAAGAGGAAACAGAATGAATAGGGGCAAGATAAGAAAGAAGCGCAGCGGCGCATGGATAAGAGCGGTGTCCAATGGACGGGAAGACACTGGCGGATGATACACCAGCAGCGCGATGTTCGAGTAGAGCAAAAGGAGGACGAGAATGCCTTGTAAAATCGTTGCGAAAAGAAACCATTGCATAACCTATACTCAGGTGAATAATTATATCTGCGGAGCTTGAGGGTGCGCACCCATGCAATGGCCCATAGAGCCATAACTATGTTTGCAAATACAAGCGAAAGTCCAACACCCTTAACAAGAGCATTCTAGAGTGTTGGAAATTTTATTATCTCAACGTTTAGCGATTCAACAGGTTTATGGGGCGCACCTTGGTCTCTGCCTTGTTTGCGACGACAAGGAGGAGGCAGTATCCAATTTGTCCAACGAAGATAACTCCCAAATACACAGCAATTACAGCAGGGTTCGGGGAAATGGATGTAGGATGAAGTTTAGAGACCCCCCCTTGATTGAAGCCAGGATGTAAATCTCCCCATTGACAAGATAATTACTGGGCGTACCTATGGATGGGTTCACGACGGAGGCACACACCGCGATTGTTGCAATGTTGATGAGGAGCGAAAGTGGTGTAAGAACTTGCAGCCTTACCAACGAAAGGTATTCGCGGACTGCGGGATGGGACGTGTCTACTGGAAGGGCATCCATTGTGAGGGAAGGAGACTAGGAGTCGAAGCACCTCAATGATGTCATCGATCGCGAGTTTTGAAGAACCGCCTTCAGAAGCCAAATACATGACAATAACGCGGTGGGCGCCAACCCAGTAACGTCCCAGGATGCTCAGGAGAGCGCTGAACGACCCAGAACAGAAATTAATAAGGAGGCCAGTGCTGAGCACCACCGACGCCCGGATAGGACGCTGGGGAGTTTTTCGTGGTCAACGGGCCACCACATTCTTCCTCTGCTTTGCGCAAAGATCAAGGACAATGAGATGATGAAGGATTGTGACACCACTAAGACTGGGTTATAAAGTGGAGAGAGGCCACTTGAAGACGCGAAGTTATGAGCCCGCAGAAGAGGATTGAGATCCACAGCAGCGCTGCGCTGCAATCGCATTTGGCGTTTTGGCGGAATTCTGGCCCTCTGGAACATTGATCGCAGTCATAAGGAGGACCTAACCACAGTGCTGTGTATCTTGAAAGTAAGAGTGTGAAGTTGGGAGGGAGAATTTGGGGAGAATAGTGATTTGATGATGAATTCACACGACTTCGCGTCCCCCATGAGCGTTGTCCGATCGAAATATTAATGGAGGCCGCTGATATAAGGAGGTTTGGAGGGGAGGTAGTCCTAAACACAACATCTGGCATGAACCATGGGGCGTAGAACCTGGATGCCGACAAATGAAAGCGTGTGCAACATGTGAATGAATGTCTTCCAAGCTCGTTTACATAACACTGAGATAGCCCTGGGTACATGTACTATAGCGTACGTCTAACAATACTCGAAAACAGTGTGCGCCTGCGCACTGTGAACGGTTAGGCCTGGCTAACAGTTCTGGATGCCCATCGCATCGCTGATCGAATCAACGAGGATATCCTTATAGTCACCGACAACGTGCCACATGGCGAATCCGAGAAGACCTTTCTCATTAATGAAGGAGCCCTTGTCAGCTGAAGATGTATATCAGATACATTACTGTTGAAGTCAGATGAAATAAACGAACCGAAGCTTGTGGCGTCGTCGTAAGAGATTTCAACGTTTGTGGACGGGTTGTAGACGTAAGGCTGAATAGGTTGCCAATGAGAAGCATAACTTGTGAGTAGCTAACAAGAAACTTACAGTCTTGCTGCAGTCGTCGAATCTGTACACCATATTCGGCGCAGCGGTGCCGTTGCTTGTGAGGTAGCCTGCGCTAACCATGCCCTCAAAGTTGAAAACGCCAGTTGGGCCGCTGGTGGTACCGCACTGATCAGTGGCTAAAGAACACGAGATGTTAGATTCACGGCAGACATGTTCAACGACTTACTTGACGTGGTGGAAGTTTCGCCCTCGCCAGCGGGTTGAGCAGCTTTGCTGAAAGCGGGGTAAGCAGCAAGTTGGTTGTTCACGACAGCGGCGCTGTTGGCGACACTGAAGCTGTGACCGTACGCAGCAACGCCAAGTGCGATCTACATCACGTCATTAGAAAGACCGGCGACTATTCGATGAGAATGCACATACCTTGTTCGCAGGGAACTTGGCAGCAGTCCAAGCGTTGACAGCAGATTCAGCAGAGCCAGCTTGACTGGGAGCGCAAGAGTCACCCAAGGGGGCGTTGGGGCCAACGGCTGTAGACCAAGAACCCCAGACGTCGTAAGCCATGATGGCTGCGGCAACGATTAGAAGAGGTCCTCAGAACAAAGCCAAAAGCTTACCGATCCAATCAAGGTACTCAGCGAACGCTGAGACATCGGCCATTGGGGTGCCGTCACTTCCGGCGTATGGAGTCAAGCCAACCGCAGATGAGAGGATGAGAGTCGAGCCCATGGGGTCTTGCCTGAGCTCTTGGAGGAACGAAAGGAAATTGGCGGAGTCACTGCTCGAGATGAGGTTGCACCCGATGCCCTGGTGGTTGGGATACTCCCAGCTGAAGAAAAAAAAGACATCAGTATTCTTGATGTTGGACATGAAACAGAGCAAATTCACTCAAAGTCGATACCATCAAGGTTGTACTTGGTAGCCAGATCGGCAACGGCCTTGACGAAGGTAGTACGGCTGTCTGCTGTGGCCACGTTCGATGAGTAGTATTGAGATCCGGTCCATCCGCCAATAGAAAGGAGTGCCTTGACGTTCTGCAGGCAGATTAGTACAATTTTCTACATCGTCACTGAGCTACATACATGGCTCTTGGCTGCTGAGACAAATGTTGGAAGAAGGCTGGCACTTTCGCTGTCAAGCGCGATGACGCTTGCATCAGAAGTTGTCGTTCTAAACGAAGAGACATATTTGAGTTGTATTCGTGCTCAAGATGTAAAAAAAACGTACGCAAAAGCGAAGGTTAAGGCGTTGTATTTGCCCCACGATATAGTGTCAGGTGCGTACGTGCCCCCCAGCCAGCCGGGGTACCACGCAGTGACAAGGACGTCCTCAGTGAAGGTGGAATTGCTGGTCGCCCGCCTGGCTAGCTGTGTAGATTCGGCAGCAGGTGCAGAGTCAGGCAAGGGTGTTGGTGCAAGTTGCGCAAAAGCAAAGGGAACGGCGGCAAACAGCGATAAAGATAGAAGCTTTGTCATCTTGCAGGAAATGAACGAGGTGGCGACCAGCGTGGACACAAAGAAAGAATGAGATGAAAAAAATTCAGCTTGAAGGCTGGGTTATATAGGCGTTTGGCTGACATAAATTTTGCCATGGACCAGGAAGAAAGTTGAAGACTCTAGTCATTCAATCGAAATTTTATTTCGATCGAGGATTTTCTTCACTGCCACTGGTCTGAAAATTTGACGACTTGTACCGTCCAACCTTATTAGTAACCAAGGAGATTGCTACCCCAGGCTCGGGGGGCGTTCCGGGCCTGATTGTGGGCAGAAGAACGGCGGGCATTGCCTCACATAAAGTGTCATGTTGAAGCCAAGTCTAAAACATACATTATCCGACTTCTGTACGGGTCAAAAGGGTCAGCTCAATCGGAGTAGTGGGCAGGGAAGACGCACATATATAGATATATACTTGCATATATAAATGCGGGTTATAATTATACCAAGTATTCTGGTACCTCTGTGTGCCATATCACATCTAATCATAACCAGAGGCTCTAAAATAGGCGTTAAGAGCATATCTGAACAATGCCCATAGCGTCGCTGATTGCGCCGAGAAGGATATCATTATAGTCGCCTGTGACAGGCCACACAGCGAAACCTAACAGGCCATTTGAAGAGATGTAATTGCCTTTAGCCGCTGCATAACATGTTGAGGATATTGGTGACAAAATGGTCAGACGAGGCTCACCAAAACTTCGAGCATCGTCGTAAGATAACATTGTCTGAGCAGTTGGGTTATATACAAAAGGCTGGGTAACAAACGCTTTTCAGAAGGGATAGGTATATGAAATAAATACAGAGATCTTACCGTCTGGCTGCAATTATCGAATGCGTAATCGATGCCGTTCGCAGCCGTTCCGTTAGAGTTGAGGAATCCGTGTGCAATCATTCCATTGAAGTTGAAAACACCCGAAATACCTTCAGGCTGTCCACATGGATCGAGGACTAAATTCAAAAATATAGTATCAAGTTCAACGACCAACAGGAGAGGCGTACCAGAAGCCGAAGTTGAGGTGTCGCTATCCCCCAACGGTTGCTGAGACTTATCAAACGAAGGGTACAAGTTAACATTTCCCGAGCTTCCCAAAGCCGCGCTGGTCGTCACATGAAAGCTGTGTCCATAAGCGGCAACACCAAGTGCGATCTTGCAGAAAAAGAAAAGGAAAGTTTGGTAAGCAGGTTCTAGAGAAATGCACCTCTCTTTTACCTGATTAGCAGGGAATTTTGCACCAGTCCAAGCCTTGACTGCAGCGACAGCAGACCCAGCCTTGGTCGGCGCGCAGGAATCATCCAAAGGAGAGTTGGGGCCGACAGTTGGAGAGAACGATCCCCAGACATCATAATTCATAATCGCTGAAAGGAGCGAGCGAGGTGAAGGATAATCACAGGAACAACATCCTATACTACTCACCAATATGATCGAGAACATCAGCAAAGGCCGATACATCAGTCATAGGTGTCCCATTCGCCCCCATGAAAGGCGTTTCGCCAACCGCAGCTGATAGTATCAATTTGGAACCAACAGGGTCCTGTTTGAGCTGTTGGAGAAAGGCGAGGAAGTTGGCTGAATCGGAAGGCGAGATAGCGTTACAGCCAAGACCTTGCCGATTAGGATATTCCCAACTGTGATTGTCGGTCAACACAAGATCTCATGGACGAGGTATCAGACTCACTCGAAATCAATCCCATCAAGGTTGTACTTCGTAGCAAGACCTGTTACGGCCTTCACGAAAGCAGAACGGTTGGCTGCGTTGCCTACTGCAGTCGAAAAATACAGCGAACCAGTCCAACCACCGATCGAGAGAAGGGCGCTGACTCCCTAATGAGTGTCAGGTTAAATGTGTGGAAAGATAGTATCCGAAAAGGACTTGCGTTGTTGCCAGCCTCAGTCACGAACTCCGGCAACAGAGTCACGCTCTGTGCATCCAAAGAGATAACTGATGGGTCATTTGTGGTCACGCTACAAGGGGAGATATGAATGCCCATTTGGAAGCCTAAACATGCTTAACTCACGCAAATGCGAAAGTCAAGGCGTTGTACTTGGACCATGAAATATTGCTTGGCGCATAGGTAGCACCTAACCAACCAGGGTACCACCCAGTTGCAAGAACCTGATCAGGAGATGATGAATTACCACCATTCGTAGTGTTGCCTCCAGTGGATTGCGCAACGGAACGAGGTTGTGGCTGGGGAGGGACGAGGCCACAATAGGGCATCGCAAACGCAACATGAAGCGCTGCCAACGTCGCAAACAAAGATACCGGGACAAGATGCATGGATAAGAGAAGAAAAGATCTGATGAAGCTGAGGATGAGCTTCAGGAAGATATATTGTGAGAAACGCGGTCATCGTATGCCTCCTTCGCATCGGGACCGTCCAGAAGAACTCCCAGGAGGGTAATCGAACACGCTGATTAGGCCTGCCCGCTGGATAGATCCGCTATAGTGTCAGGAGGTGGGTTCGGGCAATGTTTGGCGCGGGGTGCATTGCGGGGGTAGGCACCATTGATCCATGAACACGTCCTTATCCAGCACGCTATGAACACGTGCTGGAAGTATGTACCTTGAAGTGCTTCGTGAGAATGACTGAACACATTCGAAGCAGACTCTGTCGTTAACCAAAATTTTGGACGGAATTCGAACCCTTCATCACACAAGAGAAGACTGGAATTTTCGATCTTGAAAGTTCTTCAGAATATTGTTGCTGGAGGAGTGTCGACTTGAATGAACAATTGGGAACTGCTAAAAATGGAAGACATACTTACTGCGGAATAACGGCACTTTGCGAGCGCGTTGATGGAATTCCAACCAATCATAGACTTGGCTGGATGGGCATCAGATAGGTCGTGCTTAAGGAGTCCTCCTTAAGCAAGATGGACGTTAGACGTCTAAGCCTATGAGATGTGCATTGAGTGCATGGTACCCAAGAAAACACTTCGATCTGTGGGCAGGCAAATTCCATCAGTCGATATGAACGAGCTAACCCAGTAAAGCTTACCGTTAAGTTTGTCTCAACTCGCCTGGTCAGTAAGGCATTGATGATGAGTGTGAAAGAGAGGAAATGGCGGGCAGAAAAGATGTCACAAGGTCAGGTTTACAAAACCATTTCCCACTAGGCGTTCGGTGGGATATAATAGAGGTGGCTCTGACACGCACAAGAGATGAACTCTGCGCGTGTTTGGACAAAAAAGGCAAGGTGAAAAATTGCAAGCCGATCATTAGTTGCGCGTTGACTACATGTATTACTGCAAAAGTATCCAAAACAGTGGTGTATGCTGCAAGACGCAAGGGGCAGTCAGTCTACTGACCTAATTTCAGGCTGCGGGAGCTTACAATTAAATATAGATGCCAACCAACATCGTCACCGTCTCCCGTTATTGCCTCTAATCAGACCAATCCTCGCAGCAAGCTGGCGGGCCTGTATCGCTTGTAACCGCCTTGACCGCACGAATAATATGAACAAAGCAACGATAGCGAAGAAAACGTTACAAGCAATGAACTCAAAGAAATCTGCACGTTCTTGGGAGATTATGCGCCCACAGGATTCCCAAGCGAGGGTTTCGCCTTCAGGATGTGGTTGCGAAGGTGAGTGTTCACTTGGAGGCGAAGGAGGGCGTTGGAGTAGAGTGGTTGGGTTGCTTGGTGAGGTGATGTTCACGCAGTGCATGAGTCGGCGGTTACCAAAAGGTTGGCAGAAAGGTTGTTGCAGCTAGGTTGTTAAGATATCGTCAAGCTCCCCTTATCCCCATAGAAAGGGGAAAAAAACGCACTGATTCCTCCGGACAAGGCTCACATGCCCCGAAAGGCAAACACAGGAGTTGCTGTTGGGTATCATTGTCTTTTGAAGTTGGTAGTATTGGCGCATGCGATAGGTCGCCGTCTGACTGTAAGGCCACGACAGACCAACACGACCAGGTTAGAATCATGCTGTTCACAGGATGATCAGTTGACCTGCACCAATGTAATCACCGTGGAACGTACAAGCATATCGTCGTAATGCACGCCGGCGTTGGGAAACGCAGTAGCATTTAGGCAACATCAACGTCGTGGCTGGAATCAGAAAGTCAGATGCGTGGGAACAAATATTGACGCCTCTCGGAACCTCCGGCCAACCTCCAACACAATCATTTGACGGTTCCAGGCCTTAGATGCCCCAGCGAGAGGGCCATAGAGTCAAGCTAGAGCAAGCGGGCTCGTACACCTTTTGCATTCTGTGAGTGCGTTCTTCGCCTACCTAGTGGCATTTGTAGCTTTCTAACCAGTTTCAACCTCTCCTAGTGAAACTCCAACAATTTTATCGTCATGGCGATTGAGATGCAATCGATACCTCACTCATAACATGGAGCGCGTGTCGCCGTGAGTTAACGCCATCACTTAGGTTATCGCAAAATTGAAGAACCTTGCAAGACAAGAGTGATCCCACCCATTGCTTACAAAAACCGTTCGTCTATACTGGAACCGAATTATTTTGTAAAGTGGAAGGCGCGCCTCTCCATCGATACTCACGCATCAAATGGATCGAGATATGTGTCGTGTGCATATCCACCAGCCTTAGTGACCACCAAAACCATCACTCGTTTGTTCGTGTCATTTCTCAGCTTGTATGCTTATTTCCCATTACTAAATGAGAAGGTGTGCATGTCAGAAATAATTCTGGAGTTGCCAATTTTTTTTGTTGCGCTCTTCTTTGGACGATTTAGAATGCCCTTGAAGTCCAGCCTCTCTCATTTTTTCTCGCAAGAAACCACCTCGGTTCAGGTTATCTTGGAATGTCACTATTGCATTTCAGAAGACGTGCTGTTTTCTATGGCGAGTCCGGCTTTCATCTTGTGGGATTTGGGATGCGGAATCGGGCGGAACAAAGTAAAGCTATTGTGTGTTCTAGTTAGCCCCGTGATCTATGCCCTTTGCCTGATTACAGGAGGTGCATCTTTCTTGCTGCTTGCAACGTCAAAGTGAAAGACACGTGGTGGGATAAATTCGGATAAATTCCATGATCTTGCCTTTACGATTCACTGTTCCTGACCAAAGTGAACGCGTTAACGTCGCGTGTGCGTCACGAAGCGGATCCTCCCATCGCCTCACCTTCAATTCACACAAAACGGTCTAGCTACGTTCTGCGCCGACGGTGCCCACAAGTCGTACCATGAGCCAACTCACCATACCCACTATATTGGATGTCCCTCCTGAAATCTTATCCTCGATCTTTCTTCTCAACACAACCGTGGAGTCATTTTATGACCTTAGAATTCAACAAGACACAGCCAGATACACCTCTCAGGTCTGCTGCCAATGGCGCTTTTTGGTGCTGGAGAATCCAGTCATCTGGAGCAGGGTTATCGATTTCACTCGTGGATCTCACCAATGGACAGAGGAACTTTTAAGAAGGGCTTCAGATTGTCCTCTCACTTTAGTTTCTCGCTATCACTCGCTATCGTCAGATATTTTGGCGAGAGAGTTGGAACATGTTTCGCGGTTTGGTCGATACTATGGCGAATTCGCGGTGGAAACCTGGCCAATGGTTCTCGATAAACTTCAGCAGCCCGCTCCCTACCTCGAAGAACTTTTGCTTGAGGGGAGTGGCAGCGGCGCTCAATGCAAACTTCCTGCCACGATTTTCAGTGGGAATGCACCCCGTTTGCGTCAGCTCTGGCTTCAATGCTGTGGCTTTGATGACGACCTGCCCTATCTTGCACAGCTTACTCGCCTATCCATATGGGATTTTCCAGTGCAAAACGCTTCACCCAAAAAGTGGCTTGACATTTTACCACGCATGAAATGTCTCACCGATCTGACTGAGCTTTAAGGCGTAAACATAGGAACCGAGTCTCATGAAGTCGTTCATCTACCAAACCTCGAAAAAATCACACTGACGGCATCGTTGAGGGAATGCAGCGCGTCCCTCTCGTCCCTCATCCTCAAACCGACGTGTAGTATGTGTGTGACCGCCGAGAACTCTCATCCAGGAACAGACTTTGACGTCGCCGCAGGGATTATTGTACAAAAGTTACAGCTTGACTTGACCAAGGCCACTGAATCTGACTTCCCTCTCTACCTCAGACTCCAATGCAGCAACGATTTCTTCTTTGTCAGCAACCGTGCCCCCACTATGGCTGCATCGGAACCAGACACATCTCCGTATGTCTTCTTCCGTGTATCTTGATCCTCTCTCGCGAGCGGCCTGTTGACCATCTTGCCGCACGTGTCTTCAGCTTTCGCTGGCCTACTTTCACAAGTTACTTCTCTCGAATTATTCCTCAATTCCGCACTCGCATCCAAAACACATTCAACCATTGCCAATGTTCTACGACAAGCACACAATGTGACCTCGCTTGTTCGTTTGGATGAACGGGCAGCAAATGTATTTTTGCAGCTCGAGGGAGTCAGGCGTCCAATCAGCCTGAGTACTCGATCTCAAGAGGATGTTATATTTCCCTCTTTACGCACAATCTGTTTCACCGAACTAGGGCTATATGCGGGCACCGACCGTGTCCTTCAATTCCTCGTGGACTTTATTCAGTACAGAATCAGCATCGCCGCCCCCATTGGGGAAGTCTACTATACAAAGCTATCTGATGTCAGCTGGGTTCAACATGGCATGTAATGTCTCAGGGAAACCGGGGTGCTGGTGGCGCAAAGGGATGTTTGATACCTTATATTTTATGTACTCATCACCGAGAGCTCAGAGCTGAGGGTGCCACTTGACGTTTCAGAACTTCAAAATCTTGTGCTGCGATGCAATGTTGAACCCATCGAGTGTACAACTCACCTCAGCCTTTCTTTGTCTCCAAATCGTCCCAGCGCAAACGTACATTTGGGCAGTAAGAGACTCGTTTAGTGGTAAGATCATCATGTCAAATTTAAAGCAGGCATCTTGTCACGTGTTGGTAATTTGGAAGTGCATTCAAATCACAGTGATCCCCGACTCTGGAACAGAGGAGGGTTTTGTTGGAACGATAAATCCTGACTCACCTCGCTAACCGTATGACAGCTCTTTTCCCACGAAATTCGGCCTCTTCCGTGCTTTGTTCCTACTTACCTAAAACTTTGCATCAGCCTGCGAGGAGCGAACCGCGGAAGCGGTTCGGCGACGAGTAGGCAACTAATGCACTGGCAGAAGAGTATTTAGGTGGGCTGTATAATATTACATTATCTATGATCAATTCTTCCACTTTGGTTTTTTTCAAACAGAGTCGGGGGACTGGCGCTTGCGCCGCTAGTACTGGATTGAGTAACACAGTTCTTGAACAACGTTCAAAATGCGAACGTCGTGTGTTCGCAAAGGTTCGTCACGAATTCAGCACACGCTCCCGCTACTCACCTCGAATTCACACAGAACGATCTAGCTACGTCCTGCGTCGACGGTGCCCAAAAGTAGTAGCATGAGCCAGCTCGCCATACTCACTATACTTATCAGATCTCCCTCCTGAAATCTTATCCTCAATCTTCATTCTCAACACAACCGTGGAGTCATTTTATGGAGTCAATCATGTTAAAATTCTACAACCTACAACCAGATACACCTCCCAGGTCTGCCGCCAATGGCGCTTTTTGGTGCTGGGGAATCCAGTCATCTGGAGCCGGGTTATCGATTTCACTCACGGATCCCGCCTGTGGACAGAGGAGCTTTTAAGAAGGGCTTCGGATTGCCCCCTCACTTTGGTTTCTCGCCACCGCCCGCTATCGTCAGATATTTTGGCGAGAGAGCTGGAGCATGTTTCGCGGTTTGGTCGATACCATGGCGAATTCACGGAGAAAACCTGGCCACTGATTGTTGATAAATTTCGGCAGCCCGCTCCCTACCTCGAAGAACTTAACCTTTGGGGGAGTAGCATTCCGAGTGACATTGCTCAATTCAAACTTCCTGCCACGATTTTCAGTGGGAATGCACCCCGTTTGCGTCAGCTCTGGCTTCAACGCTGCAGCTTTGATGACGACCTGCCGTATCTTGCACAGCTTACCCACCTCGCCGTATCGCAAGTTTCATTGCGAAACCCTCCGCCCAAAAAGTGGCTTGACATTTTATCACGCATGAAATTTCTCACCAATCTGCGGCTCATAGACTCAAACATAGGAGCCGAATCTCATGCAGCTATTCATCTACCAAACCTCGAAAATATCACACTGATGGCATCTCTGAGCGAATCCAGCGCGTTCCTCTCATCACTGATCCTCAAACCGACGTGTAGTATGAGGGTGATTGCCCGGAATGTTCGCCCAGGAACAGACTTTGACGTCACCACAGGAATTATTGCACAAAAGTTACAGTTTTACTTGTCCAAGGCCACTGAATCCGACTTCCCTCTCTACCTCCATGTCAGCAGCGGCGACTTTTTTGTCAGCAACCGTGTTATTTCCCCTACTGGGGACGAATCGAAACCAGAGGCCCCTCCGTATGTCTCCTGCAGTGCATTTTGGCCCTCTCTCGAGAGCGGCCTGCTGTCCATCCTGCCGCACGTGTCTTCAGGTTTTGCTGACCTCTTTTCACAAGTTACCTCTCTCGAGTTATCCCTCAGTCCCGAACTCTCATTCATAACACATCTAGCCATTTCTAATGTTCTACAACAAGCAAAGAATGTGACCTCGCTTGTCCGTTTGAATAAACCTATAGCACATCTATTTTTACGGCTTGAAGGAGTCAAGCGCCCAAGAGTCAGCACTCAAACTAAGAGGGACCTTATATTTCCCTTTCTACACACAATTTATTTCACCGAACTTAGGAGGCCATCGTATACGGGCGCCGACCTTCCCCTTCAATCCCTCGTAGACTTCACTCGGTACAGAATCAGCATCGCAGCCCCCATGAAGGAAGTTTACTTTGCAGATCTATCTGATGTTAGTCGGGTTCAAAATGAAATGGCAAGTCTGGGGGAAGCCAGGGTGCTGGTGGCCATGGCCCAAAGGGATAGGGTTTGATCAAGATTCAACACCGAGCGCTCAGACGGGGTGCTTGCGTGGCGATGCCATCACTCGTCGAGCGTGCAACTCACCAGATATTTTGGCCTCCATGTTGCTGCTCACCGACCTGGTCGTCCTAGACGTAAATCTTGAAACCGATTGAAATGCGTGGTTCTTTGGCATTCGCACATCCACCCCCACAAGTTACCCCAATCGAATTCCATCTTGCACTCTCGCCTGTAACACTTTTAGACCAAAATACGAGAGGCAAACGTTCGCTTGAAATAGCAGATAATTATTAGGAGCCTCCATAGTAGATTTGTAGGTCTGAGCCCGAATACGAAGCAAGTTGATGTTGTGCTGCGAAAGCTATTCTTGTCACGTGCTGCGATAACTGCAATCGCCCACTCAAATACCTCCTTGTCGTCGCTCTTGTCGTCACCGTACAACGTAGCATAAAATGTCGCGAAGAGCAGCAATAGTTGAAGAATTCGACGATGACACCGACATTCCCCTTCCATCACACCCACTCCCGAACACCGGCTCTCGCGGTCCCCTAATCGAAGAACTGCATATATCCGATGACGAATTTGTGCCATCTGCGTCCCAACGCGCGGGGCCTGCTTCGCCTCCTCGCCAACCACGGCCTTCGTACGCCCCACCTCCGCCAGCTGCGACGGCGGCCGCAACAGCAGCAGATGGCAGCAACCGTGTGACGGATATCACCCCATATAAGACGTCTGTGTCGTCTTCACAAACGCAGCACGCGATCTGAAATTGTGCTCATCTCTCCCTCCAGGTGGACATGTATTTATCCCATTTACCTTGATGCGAAGCGCCCCTATGGAACTGGGCAACGCAGGGTGGAAAGGGCTAAGAGTTTGTGGTGGCCCCTCAGCAAGGACATCGCGGATGCGGCTATGCGTCTAGGCCTTAGGGCGCTGCATGAAATCACAAAGACTCACCCTCGAGATTGGGAGAACCCAGGTCGGGTGAGGGTACAGTGGAAGAAGGATGGGAAACTTGTCAATCCGGCCGTGAAAACCAGTGAGTGCTTTTTAGCCGCTCTGTTTCTTTACGACTATTGTAACCCCGTCTTGTTCAGAGAAACAGTTGCTAGAGATGATATGTTTCCAGATACAACTCCTCAAGCCTGAAAACATCCCAAAGCCTCCCTTCAACACGGCACCTGCGGACGTTACGCAGAGCAAACCCACACCCCCGACTTCGACAAAGGGAAAACAACCCGCTGCTACAAAATCAAAGTCGCCCGCAATAAATACTCCTTCGAAACAATCTGGCAGGCGTAGATTGCCCGTGCCCCCTGAACCACACCCACCTCTGGCGAATAGAGTGTCGGCTTATTCGCCTGCACTTTCCAGCGGCGTGTTGATCGAAACTGTCAAGGCCGGCATGAACGCCACGGAGAACTCTGCTGCTGCTGGCGGCGCACCCGGGCCTGGTGCACCTGGTGGTGGTATGGCGAAAGGGAAGCGGAAGGTGGTCAGGGTACGAGGATGAAGGGAAGATATTGTATTTTATGAAGTGTGTGTTGTACGCTACTTCTCGATGATACTTGTTTTTGCGACTTGAAACGTTGAATGGCAGGTCAGCTTCGGAGGTTATAACTCGGGGTTATTTTCAGAGTTATCATTTGTTACGCAATACAAGATCTTATCCGCTATCACCGCGACTTATCGATCATCGATGAACATGAGCATGAATAGTTTGACGGAGACCAAATTTCAGAAAGAGGTCTTTCGGCTTTCCCTCATGTTCTCATCATGGTCGCATCGTTTACATACTCGTCCCCTCCAAGTAATCGCTCCGATTCAGAAGTATCGCTGGTAATTCAGCTTCCTCACATGGTCACCCGTAACTCCCGAGTTCTCGCCGTTCTTGTTGTAACGATTAACTGTTGTACGTCATAAATGGCAACTGTACGGCTAGAAAGTTTTGCGCTTCGACTGCGTGTACTCGAGTACAGCGAGCCCCCTTTCTTCAAGGCGGGTAGGGAAGAATGCAGCTATGTTTCTTTGCTAGATCCACTGCTCTTCTCCTCCGTTCCGTTCTCCTCGTCTTTTCTTTTGTTCCCTGAACAATTTGATAGCCGGAACCCTTGAACGTTGAACGCAGAGGTCCCCTTCCCGATGAGCCGTTGACTTTTTTTTTTTTTTTTGTTACTGTCATCTATCCAGGTACACTTTCATAAGGCGGCGTCTTGCATGCTGCGCGCAGAAGGTGTGTTGACTTGCTCTCATCGTTCCGAAGTTTACTGATCAATTCAATTGTATCCTCGCATCAAGTTGTCTTTTAATTAAATTTTCAGGCCAGGTTTTGACTGAGCTCGCCTGGTGCCCTCTGGGCTATGCGACGGCTTTTCTCCGACCCACGTTTAGCCGATGAGTTGACCAACATTCCTGTCATCGGCGTAGGTGAGATTGGACGGAATTGACTTGGAGTCAGCTACCGACAAAACGGAAAAGACCGAATATCACAAAGAGACCGAACGCAGAGAGAAAACGCAAAAACTCCACTCTAGCTCCGCACGGGCCGCTGGTTTTATTGGAAACTACGTACGTCGGGCTACGTCGGGTGGAGGAAGGAAACCACATGATGCAATGGTAAGTGTTAGATAGCCGTCTCTCAGCCTCTCTCAGCGTCTTTGCCTTTTGCATTAATGTTCCATGTCAGAACATGATCAGGGGCATCGAGGGGTGTACCAGCGGACGCACCACGAACTACCTTATCTGGGCTTCTGGGAGCCAGCTGTGGATTCATCTAGTTCATCAAGAAGAGGTCGCGTCAGGGCACGTGAGATCACTCTGTACACCTTCCTATTTGGGACAACCAGAAGAGTTTTTGAACCCCTCCTCCTAATGCAACTGAGTCGATCGATCATGGACATGCTTGGAAGCACAGCGTTTACAAACAACATCTCCTCCTTATCCCGTATTTTTCCTTTCATTCCCCCATCCCCCTCTCGTCAACACGAACATGTCGAGCCCTAAGCTTTATCACACCGCGCTAAAGTCAACGTTCTGCGGCATTGAACCAGCATTATCAACACCAGATGCTCAAATACACCAATATTTCGGAATTCAATACGCCACTGTCCCTGCGCGCTTTCGCCAGTCGAAACTACGTACATCGTATCCGCCTATTACTGACGCCACAGCTCATGGGTCTGTTTATCATCCACGACCTCTTTATCGTTCACCCGCTCACATGACGTCGACACTAGGCCAATATGTCCTCAAGTAAGAGGCGGCAGAACAGCTGAAGAGCTCTTGTTCGGCATCTCTGCTGATGAGATCCCACAACAAAATCTAAAACACGACGAGTTTGAGTGTCTCAACCTCAACATAACCTGCCCAGCAGGTTTGACCCCACACTCTCGTATACCAGTCATGCTTTGGGTGCATGGGTAAGCTTAATTTTTTGCTTTTTACGCTCCAATTCATTCATCTATATTTCAGTGGAGGCCATAGAGGGTCTGGCTCTCATTGGGTGTACGATGGCGCACCCATGGTTCGAAAAAGCGTTGAAAACGGGAAACCAATCATGCTCGTGACCTTCAAGTAAGAACACAGCTTATCCCGTCGTTTTGTGCTAAAAATATCGTTCCCAGCTTTCGCTTAGGCCTCTTTGGCTTCGCCGCCAGCCCTACCATCCGGGATGATAACAAACGCGCTGGTGACGAAGGCACCGGTAACTATGGTATGTCGTAGCTGCACACCATGTTTCTTATGCTCATCATCGATGACGTAGGCCTACGTGATCAGAGGCAAGCCATGAACTGGCTGCACCGCTACATCGGCGACTTCGGTGGAGACCCCAATAACATCACCCTGTTTGGGACATCCACCGGTGCCGCCGACATCATATGCCATCTGCTTTCTAAAGCAAACAAGACGCAACCGCTATTCCAACGGGCCATCATACAAAGCGCTGTCTTTGAACCAATCTTACCAGATATTCCAAGCGCGGGATGGCATCTCTCCAGAGTCATGTCGACCCTCCACGTTTCCCAAATAGACAGCTTGCGAGCCATCGAGGCTGACAAGCTTGTTGGTCTTGGGCACACTTTGCGAGCCATCGATGATGGCTTCTTCTTCCGAGATGACTGGAAAAATCATTTCGAAATTCACCATCACCATCATCACGCGCACAAGGCCAGTACCCTTTTGCCTCCAAGCACTCGAAGCAGAAGTCGCTCTATCATCCAAAGCCTTCGATCGCCCTCTCGAACCCGAAGCCCGCGGCTTCAACTCCCCAGCACCCTACAGCCCCTAATCATCGGGGACAGCGTTTCCGACTCCCTCTTGTGGTCGCGTCCCATATCCATGTGGACGCCCAACGCCGTCGTAAGGCGCGTAAAAGCAATCTGCCAATCTCTCAGCAAAGCGAGCAACCTCCTTCGCGCCTATGACATCTCGTCGTACACCCCTGACGACGAGATCGTAGACCGCGTTTTGGATCTGGTCAACGACGCACGCGTTGCGTGGCCCACGGAATGCTTCAATGAAAACGCCAAGCGTGAGCGAGGCGGGCACGGCGTCTGGCGATACGTCTTTGACCAGGAAGGTCCATCGCGTGGGCTTCCACACCACGCTGCGGATCTCATATACCTGTTCGACACCGTCCCTCTGCCGGCCTCTGCACGCCCGTCCTCCACTGAACCAGAGGTGTTCTACGACGGTCCGTTCGACTGCTCGGACGACGAAGATGCGGAGATTGTTAAATGCGATAATGGTGCACGCTACATTGAAGAATCTCAATGGGAAACAGCCGTAGTCGATGAATATTCATACGCTCGCGTCCGGGACGCGATTAATGAGCGCTGGGTGGCTTTCGCTTACGGCGAAGCACCATGGAGAGAAGACAAAGTCTTCGTCTTTGGCCCGGAGGGTGAGGCTGGGGAGCGATCGTCAGGGATTTTTGAGGGCCGTCGACGAAAACAAATGTGGAAGGAGGCTTTCGACCCTCTTGGGCCACAACTCGTCCAAAAAGTGGGCGTGGAGCTCAGCAGGGGTCCATCGCTTGGTGCGGATAGAGCTTAGGCTTGTTCGGATTGTATTATCTATTTGGGTTGGAGGGTCATTCACGAGTTGCGTGACCCAGGTATTATCAAGGTTTCTCTTTCCTCATCGCGCCAGGCATTTCTTCGTTCCATCATTAGCATCATAGCAAAGCATACTGTACCATACACATTCATGGCATCACAAACGATGGCTCTTTTTAATATTTTTTACAAGCCTGAGAATGAGTGGATTCGACTATCAACCAGTACAAGAGAAAAGTAGACGTAAGGTCATAAACATGCATCATAAATAGACGGGCAGTGGAATTGATACAGTGGGTGTCAGAGCAGTTAAGATAGCGTCGAAAGACAAAGGAAGGAAGGAAAAAGACAGCATGAATCAAGATCCGAGGCAACCTATCAGTCTTCGTCATCGGAGGAAGGTGTCGCAGCTTTTTTAGTGTCAGTTCTGCTTGATTTTGCCTAGAAGCGATGTCAGTGATATCATTAACCAAAAATGTGGAGCCCTTGCCTTTGCTGCTCTGGTTCTTGCACTACTCCGTGTGCCCCGAGTCGGCGTTTCGCCTTCCGATTGGTTCCTTTTTGTATCGCGTCCGGGACTCGAAGTGCTGTTTCCGTCAGCCATCTCTACATCGCTTGCCTCGATTTCGGAAAAGTCTTCGCCGGCCGAATCGTCAGATTGAGCTTTCTTGCGAGGGCGTCTTGGAAAGGTATTCAGGTTTCAGCACACACGGCACCCCCAAGAGAGGCAACTCACTTGGCGTGGCCGTTGGTTTTTACAGGGGCTTTCCGTTTTGCTGGGGGTCTTCGCTCCTTTTTCTCCTGAAAATGGGCATATTATTGAATGAGTATTCACACACGAGTCATCGACTCCCTAACCTTTGTAGTTCTTGATAATTCGGCAAGCCATGCTATCGTTTCTTCAGGGAGATACACAGTTTTCAAGACCTACAAAGGGTAGTAATAGCTTCGTTTAAAGAAATTCACGAAAAAGGCTTACCTTGCTGCTTGTTTCCGCGTTTGGTTGCGGACGGAGAATGTCACCAGGAAGTTTGACTTTGCCTGGATAGCTTTGTATAGTCCAAGAGTGCGCATGCGCCCGGGTTTTGATTAGATCCTGAGCCAGCTCACAAATGATGTAGAGGTTCTGTCGGGAAAGGCTGGTTATTTGCGACAAGTAACACAGATTGAATTGCACCGACTTGCCTCGCTAAAGGTATGCCCCTCAGGGTCGCGTACTGTCTTACCCTTCATAGCCAAGTGATAAAGAAGCGAGATATTGTCTTGGGTAGCCATAAGTTCAAGGTAAAATTGTACATATCTGGATGCCATTAGTTCGTATGCGGTATTGGATTCGAGGCGAACTGACTTTGCGATATCTAGCAAATCGTCATGTGTTGTGTTGAAATCCGGATGGTGGGCCAAGGCATGGAGCAAGCGAATAAAAGTCATTTCGAGATGCTCGACACGCACGGCTTGGGCATTAATGAACAAACCGCAGAGGAGCACAGAGACCATTAAAGCCTACCTTGGGGCATTTTTTGTATAGCAGAACGGATATAAGCGGCAGCCTAAAAGAATTTCAGAACGATCTCAAAAGTAGCAGATTCAGAGAAATCGCACCATATTCTTGACCTCGTTTTCTGGGTCGTGGACAGTTAAAAAGGGTATCACATTATGACGAGGAGAGATTTTGCGAGGTTGTAGCAGCGTGAGCAGCTTGGTGAGGAAGTTGATGCGAACATTGTAACAAGAATCCTGAAGTGGAAAAAATTAATGCTTGGACTAATGTGGTAACACAATGTCAAACCTGGATGACAACAGCCAATCTTAAAAACTTGGGCAAAATGGCCGTCGAGTAGCTTTCTACGGTCGAAAGATGAAGAAGAGATATCGCGGCCTGAAGGCGCATACGAGACATGACTTTGGGACTGCATTGTGTTTTATCAGTGGAGTTACTCAGAACCTAAAAAAGAACTTACTCTTCTTGGACATTGGGTACCAGAGACCCATTATGTTCAAGCAATGTGGCTAACATTTTGAGCACTGGTGTTGCAATTTCTAAAGCTTTTTCGGACGCAGAGTGTGCCAATCCGCGATTTCTGCACACCTTCAACGAAAGAAGCTTCGCCCTGAGATTGTCAGACACATCCTCATCTTCTACCCACTCTTCGCCTTCATCCATCTCACCCTGAAAGGTCTATCAGTCAGGGCTCATTTGTCTACCGATCGATGAGATGACACTACACACCGGATCAGGAGGGGTAGGTATCATAAAAATCCGTTTCAACAGGAACGTCATGATAACTTCGCTCTTCGATTCGAATGCATCTGGGGCATATCTCGCGAATTGAGCTAAAGCGGCTATCCTTGCTACAGGGACGTCTGATCCGTCACTAATGCCGCTCGCGATGGACTGTCATATATATATATAAGATCTCAATCGCCCGAGATATTGTGCGGCTTACCTCGATTGCCTTAAGACATGCCTCGTCCTTATTGCTTGAAAAGGCTAGATAACGGGCAGCAAACTTTGATTGTCTCCAGTTATCTTGAAGCACGATGCGAGTTATGCGGTCGTTAGTGCGTCTAGGGTGTTACATCGGTCAATCAGCTCTCAAAAAACAACCACAAGTAAGCTTACTTGTCTGTAGGCGCCAGCGTTTGATCCCACTTTACCACCCCAGCCAGAGCTTGTAAAGCAACCCCAACCAACGTCTCATGTTTCTCATCCGCAATAGCTTTGGTCAGTTCGCTGATATGAGATCTATACAACGATGGTGAGTGCTTCGACACAAATGTCAGCAGTGTCTTTGCATGCAGAGCTGCCTGGCGGATGTGACTAGTCGTGCTGTCCAACCCCTTCTGCACGCGCTTGAGCAGTGTGGGTATTGAAGATTGGTTCAAGACGCGGTAACTGGCGCGGTACAGGAGAACGGTCATCGTAGGGAGGATGGTGGTGGATAATTGGTCTAGCCGTCGAGTAAACTCACTCTGAGAGAACAGGTTCATTGAGCTCAGAGCATCAATTATGCGGAGATGAACACTGACCGTAGCTTTGACTAGAGCTTTGACGTCTGTTTGCGGATCCATACATGTCTTCGTGAGCTTGTAAAGTCGGTTCTCGTTCAACTTTGCAAAAGCTCGCAAGTCTTCGCATGCTTTCTGCCGATCCGGGTACAGAACTGAGATTTGAGTGAGAATCGGATTGGGAATACGGAACGTCAAAAAAAACCTGAAAGATGCGCGATTGTAGCGTCAAGTTTCCGTTTGACTGCATCCTCGTCCTCGTCGATGATCCCACCCTGCAAGGAGGGAGATGAGACAAGCGAACAAAAATCACGGGGCTGATACATACGTTATGTTTGATGCAGGTCTCTAGATAAACATCGAAGATATTTGGCCGTCTATGATGATGCTTTAGTAAGAAGTGAACTGACAAGGGTAAGGCAACAAACATCTGTTTCAGTCCAGACAAAGAAAGCAGGGTAGATATTGACTGGTCGCTGAGATATCTCAGTGTGCTTAGCAATCTATCCGTCCAAGCGACCTCGTCGATTTCACTTCCTTTTGATCCAGAGACGTTCGCTGGTGTAGGGAGTGGCAGAACGTATTCAGCCATTACCCTTTCAACCGCAGACCTAGATCGCTTGTCAATTGCCTCATAAGAGGTAGATGGACAATCATTTTACCTAGCTTCAGGAGTACTGAATGTTATTTGAAGAAGTTCCTCAGGGATCCATGCGAATTGTTTGATTGCTGACGCCTCATTATTCTCACTGGTACCCTTGTAAGTATGAATCAAAACACGTAATTAAAAACTCACATTTCTGGGTAAGCGAGACTGTATAGTCTTCCCAAACTATTGAGCGCTTCATTGCGCACAACTTGCTGTAGAAGGAAATGGGCTCGGGAAGCAGCAATGATTGAGGCTACTGACCTTCTTATCCTTGCCTCGATCAGCAACTGCCCGCAGTTGAGCTTCCGATACGTGATGCAAGGCCGCTTCATAATCGAGTTGCGAATACAGCTTACACGCAGCTGCTCGGACTTTGTCGTCCGGATCCATAACCTTGGCGCTCAGCATGTCTAGGAGGCTGTTCGTAAAAGAATACCCAACGTGGATACTTCATCACTCACCTTCTAATACTTCTCGGAGGTCTGGTAAATTTGTTAAAAGAGCTTTTGAGGCTTCTACAACTTTGAGGCGAATCTGGACATTTTTGTCGTTCTTCCGCCCGATCCACGCGTTCCAAGTCGCGGGATACTTCTTGACTAGGTCAGGACCACCTTTGTCCGCAAACATGTCTCCTAGGACCTGGGTTGCTATGAGCCGCAATGTTAGATCCTCTGCGCGGAGTTCTTCTTCCAGCTGAGGTATAACACTGGGCAAAACGCCGGGGCATGAATGGTGCAGGCGTTTGATAAGGTCGTGTGCATTGCGGATGTCGTCAAAGTCGTCCTCAGGTGCGTGAGAGACGATGATATCAGTGAAGTATTGAGAGACGTGACGCTGGAGTTTATCAGCAGTGGAGTTGCAGACTTGGACTGCCAAGCGATAGGCCGGATGTTCGATGCGCTGCAGGAAGAGAAAGCGTGAGTTGGATAATGGAGAAAAGGAGATGTAGTATTCCGACCGCGTTCTTGTCGATGAATTGCGACATGAGAGTATCTAGCGCTTCGGATGGAAGGGACTGGGATTCGTCGATTAAGGCGACCAAAATGTCGGCCAAAAAAAGTTCGACCTTCTTGGCCAGGTCTCGTCTAACAAGAGCGAAGAAATCACGAAAGATTTCGGCCATAAGCTCGTCCGCCGAAGGAAGATCACAAACAAGCACCACACTCTTGACCGTCGATAGAGATTCGAGGAGATGAAAGTATTCGGTATAGTAGGATGATTCTGGACCCTTGAGCCCATTTGAAAGTTGGCGGAAGAAGAATTGAAAGATGTCGCGTAGTTCAGCTTGAGTATACGGGGCATCGGGGGCATAGAGTCGCAAGATGTCAGCAAGGCAGCATGCAGCGAAGGCCTTGACCCCTCTATCTTTGTGAAGAAGGATGGAGGTATTGATGAGCTCTTTACGGGCCGTGCTGAGCGAGGCGACATCGACCGTGTCTTGGTCGAGTGCCGCGAGTTGTGTATGGAGGGTCTTGAGTTTCTTCAGGAGAGCGTCAGTAGAGAGGCCCTTGCCACCAAGCTTCTCGTGGAAGGCGAGCTTCTTCTTTGGAGATGGCTGGCCGCTATGGCGAGTCTGGGCGACCATTTGCGTCGACGTCGTGGAGGTCGGCGAACGGGGCAACGCGACTTAGTTGAGTCAAGTCTTTGGCGCGGATTTGGATTGTGCGAGCACGCGTTGTTTGCCTTTGTTCTGTTGAATCCACAACACCACCACGGGATTTTCTCCGATTATCCGGCCATGTCCAAGCCGCTTGCCATTCCTCCCAAGCGTGCTCTTGCCTCAAAGGAAGCCACCCTCTTCAAAGATCTCCTTAACCACTATGAGACGAAGCAGCTCAAAAAAGGTCTCAAGACTGCTGATCAAATTCTCAAAAAATACCCAGAGCATGGCGGTCCGTTCGACCGATTCCATTATCTCAACTTTGGATTGCTCATCTCTTATCAGAAACATTATGCATGAAAGGGCTTGTCCTGGCTCACATGGGCCGGCGGGAGGAAGGCATCGACCTCGTCAAAAAGGGTGTTCGATTTGATCTAACGTCACACATTTGCTGGCACGTCTTCGGGCTCATCCAGAAAGGGGAGAAGAACTACGAGGAGGCTCTGAAATCATATACACAAGCTCTTCGTTTCGATCGGGTCCGTGCATTAGACGCTATCTATGCGAAAATGTTTTCATAACGCCCACAGGAAAACTTGAACATTCTCCGCGATGCTGCCCAACTTCAAACGCAGTTACGAATATTCGACGGCTTGGTGGAGACCCGAAGTACACTCTTGAGACTGCGACCGAACGTTCGTCAACATTGGGTTGGATTAGCAGTCGCCCACCATCTAAATGGCAATTTGACTGAAGCACGCAAAATCTTAGAAAATTATCAACGGACTCTAAAGGTAATGACCCTTCTAACCGAGCCAAGAAAGGACATTATTAAACTCATTCTGCAGAACGTTCCTGATTATGACATTGAACACTCCGAAACACTGCTATACTATGTCCACCTGTTAGAAGAGATCGGCGACCTTGATGAAGCCCTGTCCGTACTTGACTCAAATGCGAAGACAAGAGCAATTGTGGACCGCACAGCCATTATGGAGATTCGAGGTATTCACCATCTTAGATCCCTTTTGTTGGCGTTTCCTCATTGCTTAAAGCCCGCGTGCTTACCAGAAAGCAGTCTGAAGAGGCTGAACATGCCTGGAGATCTCTGCTAGAGCACAATCCAGATTGTTACGATTACTACCGTGGGTACCTCTCAAATATGGGCGTCGAACTCGGTGAGCGCAACTGCTGTGTCTTTTCAATCGCCTGGTGAAACTAATATGCGTCAAGATCAATCAAACCCGGAGGCGCTGAGAGTGTTGAAAGAGTTTTCCGCATCAATACCTAAAGCCACCGCTCCCCGACGATTGGCTTTGACAATTTCGGTAGGCGATGCATTCAAGGAGCTCGCAAAACCCTACCTCCTCACAGGGTTGGCCAAAGGCATACCATCCCTATTCGCTGACATCAAGTCCCTGTACAAAGACAAAGAAAAGCAGCAGGTCATAGAGGACATCGTTGAGGCCTCCCTCACGCCAACAGACCCATCATCTTCTACCGACGTGGAGCCAACAACATACCTTTGGACCTTGTATTTCCTTGCTCAACACCATGCATACTTATCTCGCGCAGAAAAAGCCCTTTCCATCCTTGAAACAGCATTGTCCCACACTCCCACACTCCCAGAGCTCCACCTGTGTAAAGCCCGCGTTCTCAAACGCGCGGGAGATTACTACGGTGCAGCCCGTTGTGTGAATGATGCACGGTTGCTTGATGGCCAAGACCGGTTCCTGAATACCAAGTGCGGTAAATATCTTCTTAGAGCTGGTATGCCGGAAGAAGCCAGTACTGTCCTCGGGTTGTTTACCAAGGTATATTTTGGATTTATAAACTTTTCTGGGGATATATGCTCACATTAAGTGACAGAAAGATGCCCCCAGTCCAGGTGCGGATCTCGAGGACATGCAATCCCTTCTTTATCTTCTGGAGGAAGCCAATTCTCATCGTCAATATGGTAAACCCAATCTTGCACTCAAGAAGTACATGGCTATCAAGAAGGTTGGCATTTTCTCGCTGCCCTGCGTCAGTGTAAATGATTCTTCTATTGGCGCCATAGGTCTTTGACGAGATCGACGATGATCAATACGATTTCCATGGATACAACTTGCGCAAGTTTACCATTAATATTTACATGCGGTGTGTACCTCCATCACATATTCTTCGACATTCCTCATTTCTATGACAGCCTTCTCAAATGGGAAAATACTCTCCGATCTCACCCTGCCTACGTTACTGCCGCAGTTGAGGCGTCAAAAGTTGTGGCGCAACATTGTCCTTTGTGGATCATTCAACTCACAGCTTCTCCCTAGATATTCGTTGTCGTTCATGATGATCCATCGTTAGTTACCTCACTAGCACCAAGTGAGTTTTCTTAGCCTCAATCAAGTCCTTTATCTCACCTGTTCCTGTCAGCGAACTTGACAGACGCCGAGAAAAAAGCAAAAAAGAAAGCCAAGAAGGCTGCCCAAAAGGTTCAGGATGACAAGAAGGGTACAGTCTCTTTCACGTTGTACTTTCGCTGCATTCTGAGGTTTTGTGGCAGCCCCACCTGCTGCTAACGAGGACAAAGGCCTCGAAGCCACCCCACAAAAGGACGACGACCGCGATGGCTTGAAACTCCTGGCTTCACCTGACGGGCTGGAACAAGCCGCCAAATTGCTTCACCCCTTGTCGACATTCTGCGCCAACAATATTGACGTGTGGATAGCCATTTACGATGTTGCTGTGCGACGAAGTGCGTTTCTCCATTAATCAACCGGTCGTTGGTATTGTTTACTTTTCTTTTTAGAAAAGCTTCTCCAGGCCTTGACTGCGCTGAACCATGCACGAAGTCTTGATCCCGAACATCCCGAATTACATATCCGTGCTGTTCATCTCAAGAAAACCGGTACGTCTTTGTACTCGAAATTGCTGACCTACTCACTCAGTCAATCGTCTAGCCTCCTCACTCCCTCAACCCCCACCAGCTCCTATTGGACCCATATTCCTTGAGACGATTCCAAAAATCATACCAGACGACATCTCACTAGAAACATTTAACTCCCAATACCTCCAACGTCACTCAACATGTCCACGTGCCATCCTTGCTGCTGCCAAGGTGTTACTAAACCTCGGCGCTCCTCGCGAGGAAGTCGAGGAAACTATCTTCACAAGCCTAAGAGACGAGGTTACACTTGACATTCCAGTATGTCCTTTCTTCACTACACTCAAATTTGAGTAGCTCACTTTGCCGTTACAGAGCGCCCTAACCACCTTGCACTTCCTCAAATCCCTCAAATCACCGAGAACAGAGGAGTTCCGAGAAGCATGCGATGCCAAGTTCGTTTCATCCACCATTTTCAAGACCGCAGAAGAACAAAAAGCTCTACGACAACTGGTCATGAAGGGGAGCGTGGACGCTAGTAGCAGTCCAGAGGAGGCCGTGCCTTGACTGGGGAGAGTAAAGCCTGGTAAAGCTTAGAGTTGTTCACTAGAACGTCCTCGCTTGTATCTGGGAGATTTCGATGACCATTGGATGTACCATCGAATGTGGTGTACTAATATTTTGTGTCAAGATGCACGCGTTCGCCTTAAGAAAGCTCCTTGACAGGGTTTACTCATCAGCTCATTTCGCCGAACGTACACCAAAAAAAATCTATTGAACGAAACTACGACCACATATATAACAGTTTGTTCATAAGGTGAGATAGCTTCGGAAAATTTGAAAAATCTGTGGTTAGATAAATTACAACACATTCATCATAGATGCAAAGTATCATTTACCGGTGTTAGAAAAAGAGTTTGAGACCGAAATGATAAGTATTGAAATATTGAACTTCGACATGAACCAGAGGAACTTGTAGCAACACAGGCCGCGTCTTTCGAATCATATCAATCAGAACGAATTTATCATGACTGCAAAGTATCATTTACCAGTGTTAGATTGGATCCCCAAATTGTCAAGACCGAAACAATGAGCACCACGAGTCAGAGTAAGTTGCCGGTAACACCGCAAGACACGTCCTTCAAAGCTTGTCGTAGTACGTGTCGAGCGCGGGAATGGCGGGCTAGATTCAGATGTCGTGGTCAACAGACGCCTTCGAGAAGTTCCTGGCACTTACCTTGAGGCCCTTGCGAAGCCGAATCTTCGTCACAAGATCCTCAATTTTGCTACCCTTATCCAGCGGCACTGAGGCCAAAAAAAGGTTAGACTGACGCTCTCGAAATTTTGACAGAGACGTACATCCACTCATGGTCTCCCAATGATCAAACACACATTGCGGGAAAGCATGACCAGCCGTGTGTGCGCGGAGATCTCCATTGAAACCGAATGATTCGGAAACGGGAAGGTATGCCTTGATGGTGAACATGGGCGTTCCGACCCTCTGTTCCTCGCTAACAACTTGGCCACGACGCTTGTTTAAGCAGCTGTAGACGCCGCCAATCGCTTCTTGTGAACATTGAATGTCAACTGTGTCGTATGAATGATGATGAGGTCACGAATGTGCTAGAAAAACCATAAATACGAACCGAGGAAGATAGGCTCTTGTAATGCAGGGGTAGCAAGGAGGCAGGCGGCGAATGTGGCACGACGCATAGTCGGTATGATTTGTCCTCCACCGCGATGGATAGCGTCGGAGATCAGCTGAGATTCGCGATGGGTAAGAGATCCCCGAATGAATGTAGACAAAACTTACTGTGACATCAAGAATATTGACCCTGACACCCCGCATACTCTCCTCGCATAAAACACCTTCTTTAGTCGCCCATTGGAACGCGCTAACGCAAGAGTCCTTGATTTCGTGCAAATATTGAACACCTTTCGTGACATCAACCAATAAATTGGGACCAGTTGCGTCAGGAGCGAAGCACCAAATCCTCCTAGCGTCAGAAACCTCCCAGCCAAACTCATCAGCAAGGATGCGGGCTCGAGCTTTGACGTCATCGTGAGGATCAACAACACCTTTCTCGATAGCGCTGGTGAGCTCTTCCCCAAGGGGCATGGCCTTCACGTAAATACGATTGTGCTTGTTTGGTGACTTGGATAAGGCGACTATGCTTGACTCTGCTTTGACAGTCTCGCGGTAGGGCACGATTGGGTCGGAAAATTTGAGGGGAACACCAGCGTGATCGTCTTGGAGATCCTTGAGTCAGTGATGTGAGTTGAGCATACACGGCAAGGGAAACAATAGATACTTACCTTCAAACAAATCTCCAGATGAAGTTCGCCTGCACCAGCTACGATGTGCTCTCCTGTTGGTGATATCCATGTTTGAACGCAAGGATCTGATTTTGACAGACGCTTCAGGCCTTCAACGAGTTTAGGTAAATCGCTAGTGGTCTTAACTTCCACTGCGACCTGAACGACGGGAGAAACGGAGAAGCGCATCATTTTCATGTTATGCGCCGTTGGGGAGGATGTAAGCGTGCCGCTCTTCAGGAGGAATTGATCGATGCCGACGAGGCCGATGATATTGCCGGCAGGACAGTCTTCAATGGGCTCAACTGAACGACCCATCATCAAGACAGTGCGCTGAACGGACTTGATGAATAAGTCGTCCTTCTTTCCAGGGACATAATTGGGGCCTTGGATACGAATCTCCTTGCCAGGTCGAACCGTACCAGAGAATACGCGACCGAATGCATAGAAACGACCTTTATCGGTTGTTGGCACCATCTTTGAGACGTACAGGACAAGCGGTCCACTAGGGTCGCAGTCTCTAATGCCAACAGCGGATTCGTCGTCCATCGGTCCCTCGTAAAGAGTCTCGACGCGGTAACGCTGAGCAGTGGTGGGGGACGGAAGGTTGATGACGATCATTTCTAATAGTGAATCGCCAGCGGGAAGGAATTTGCGCATGATCGTTTTGAGTAAAACTTTCCCCTCCGTCTCGCGCTCTCCTGGAGCAAGCTTGATTGCGAGACTTGCAAGAATTTTGTTGATTGCATCGTTCTTCGAATTCATGACAGCATCGAAAATGATGTAGATGGGATCCAAGACGTATTGATTGAAAGCTCGTTCAAGCTGTTTCCCGTTTGCGCCGGTGCTGACTGTAGTCCATTTCCCCGTTGTTGGATCATAGTAGTTGTCACCCCACAACTTACCCATCATCTTCTCCTTGTTTACGCCAAACTTCTGCGCGTACCTCGAGGCAAATTGCCTCAAGGTGAAACCCCAACCGTGCAGGCCGGATGCGAATGCTACGGTGCCGTGGTTCGGATAAACCTGAAGATCCCCTAGTGCCGTGTCCTGATAGGTGGAGATAATGACGTTGACGCTCTCTATGGTACGTTGGAAGGACTGGTACAGAGCCTCCTTATCCGTTTGGAGTTCTAGTAATGCGCGGTCGACTTTGTTGATTACAACAACAGGCTTGATGCGTTCAGTCAAGGCCTGGCGTAGGACAGTCTCCGTTTGCACGCAAACCCCTTCAACGCAGTCGACGACGACCAGAGCGCCATCAGTAACGCGCAGCGCAGCCGTGACCTCGGACGAAAAGTCAACATGACCAGGAGAGTCAATTAAATTGATCAAAAACTCGTTTCCTGAAGAACGAAATAGCCTCAAAAATTTGTAGGGTTTAGAGACAAACACAAGTTTACCTATAGTTTTCTGCTTGATTGAAGGAATATCTTCTTTGTCGACCTCAAAGTACATAGAGATTGCGGTCGACTTGATAGTGATGCCACGTTCCTTTTCGTCTTCTCTGGCGTGGGTCGCAAGAACGGTACCAGCTTTTGCGGCCGCAATGATACCGGCCTTCGCGAGCAATGAGTCGGTAAGGGTCGATTTTCCGTGGTCGACTTTGAAGCGTCTCAGGACAGTTACGTTTACAATAAAGAATATTGCTTACCATGAGCTATAACACTCATATTTCGAATATTTGTTGGCCTGTCCATGAGGTTTCGGACCTGATCTATCGCCTATGATTGAACATTTCCATCTCAGGGGTTCAAAGCTCGCAAACCTGCTGTGAATTTCCTGCAGACTGGGTAAGTACATCGGTGTGAGCCTGAGCAAGTCGCAGCGAGACTTACACCATCTTGAATGCTGTCAAAAAGTGAACGATTTAACTATTTACAATTATGTCCGTCTTTATAGAACGACGTTGGAAAGATGTGACTCTGAGACTACCCATCCGTGTTCATAGGAGGCGAGTTATGAGTCGTGATAACTCGAAGGACGTCGGCACGGAACCCAATCGGAACCGTCTGGCAAAGTCCGGCACCGAGTTTCTAGCCTCTCAGTTCGAATTCAATTCGACGGTCCACGAGTCGCGGTGCTGGAGTGAACGTTCAGACCTTTGACAGAGTTGTTGTGGGTAATCTTGGCGAGGGGGACGGCACAGTTGAAGATCTTGTTGGATACGGATGAGGGTGTGCACACGACCTTGACTCGAACAAGGTTGTTCAATTTCTACTTGAATTGACTTTATATGCGCAATTCATTACATTCCTCCAATTGTATCGAAAAAAGAGTCTAAATGTCTGATAGCCAATAATGAAAGGACGAAAAAAACGCCAATCAAATTCGCTACATAATAAATGCATGAAGATGAAAATCTCATGCATTCAACCAAAGGGATGAAAATGCAAAAAAGGGGCATTATAGATAATACGAAAAGGAAAGGAAGGAAGGACTCGAAAAATAACCAACAATCAAACAATTAAAAAAAAACCCCTTCCGCAAAATTTTCAAAGCAATGGGAATTATGGTAGTCAAGGTCGGATATATACACTAATAATGTGTGCCGTGTCGGATGTGTGGGTGTGCGGGTGTATGCGTGGCGTGCGTGCGATTGATTAAGTGTGCGATGCGATGCGATGGATAGACGAAGCGACGACGAGAACATGAAGCAAAAGCTCGCTCACGGGCGTGCCGAATAAGGCGGCAAAGACCCCGTCGAAGAAGACGGCGTCAACGGACCAAGCTGCGCACCCAACGACCCCTTCCTCTTCGCAGGGAGCGCCAACTGTCCCGCAAACGCAGGCCCAGCACCCGGTGCGGGTGTAGGAGGCAACGAAGGCGCAGGTGTGTTCGTCTGTGACCTGTTATGCGCCATATGTGCACGGATGAGATGGCCTGCAGCGAGGGCGCTGAGCAGGGACAGTTCCCCAGCCATAACGGCAGCAGCGATGAGCCGAGCGAGTGCTTGTGCATTTTGACCAGGTGCCGTGGGGTGGGCGCCTTTCATGCCGAGAAGTGCCAGTACACCCTGTTGTGGTGCTAATACAGTTCCACCACCAACAGTCCCGACTTCGATGGAAGGCATCGTAATCGTCATGAGCAAGTCTTCGCCTTTGTTAACCCTAAAACAAACCAAAGATTAGTTTTTCTCTCCGGAAACTAAAGAGGGGAAGACTCACGGCTCCATCAACGTCATACAATTCGAACTCTCCACATTCTGCGCAGGGTCCTGTCCAGTAGCCAAAAACATCGCAGTAAGAATATTCGCAGCATGCGCATTAAAGCCTCCAATCGACCCAGCCATCGCGCTCCCCACAAGGTTCTTCTTCGTGTTCAAATTACACAACGCCTCCACCGTCGTCTTCAACACCGTCTTCACAACCTTGCCAGGAATAACAGCCTCAGCAACAACGCTCTTCCCCCTCCCCTCAATCCAATTAATCGCAGCCGGCTTCTTGTCCGTGCAATAATTGCCCGACAGGGCAAGAACAACCATCTCAGGAAAGTGTTTCTGCATCACCTCCAGCCCCTTCTCCGTACCCTTTGAGATCATGTTCATGCCCATAGCGTCCCCAGTAGCCGTCGCGAACCGTACGAACAACGTCCGCCCAGCCATAGCCGTCTTCAAGCTCTTCAGCTTCGCGAATCGTGAGGTACTCTCAAACGCCGTCTTGATCGCGTTATAACCCTCCTCTGAAGCAATCCACGCCTTGGCTTCAGAAGCCATAACGATATTCGGGAAATCAATGGCCGGTCCGCGGGTCATGGCGTCCTGAACGACGACGGTCGTCACACCTCCACCAGCATTGAGAGCCTTACAGCCCCGAGAAGTAGACGCGACGAGGGTGCCTTCGGCCGTGGCCATGGGTATGGGGTACAATGTCCCATCGACGTTAAGCGGGCCAGCAATACCAAGAGGGATAGGGATATATCCAACAACGTTTTCGCAGCACGCACCAAGCACACGAGAGTAGTCGTAGTTCGCCATAGGGATATCCGAAGTTTCCAATGTCTGCGTCAACGATGCGCGAGCTATAATCAATCACAATTAACCCCCATTCACAAAGGAGAAGAAAAAGAAAAAGGACATACAGATCAACGCCCTCCGTATCCTCACAGCCCTCTCCAGCTCATCCATACCCAGCACCTTCTCTAGAGCATACGCCGCGATCTTCCCATGCTGCGCAAGCAGTACCACCTCCTCATCATTCAGCATACTCAGCGCAACACTCTGTGGCCTTGGCCCATTCTCAAAGATATCCACACATTCTTCCAGGGACCGTACCACGTCAGGTTTCGCTTCCTGTGGGCCCTCGTTCTCCGAGGACGACGAAGACGGGTCAGAGTCAGATGGGGATAGAGGTTGAGTTGCTGATGGCTTGGTAGAGGTGGAGCTGAGCCGTTTGGTAGCTTTCAGCTTACGATCAACGTCTTCCAGCGTGAATGTAGCAACGGACGATGGAGCAGGAGCAGGCGAGGTAGGACCCCTAGTAGGCGACGCAGGAGCCAGCTTCGTAACAACAACAGCAGTCGGTTGTTGTTGAACCTCCTCATCCTCATCAAACCTAACACCCCCTTTCACAACCCCACTCCTTCCAACAACACCAAAGGCTCTAACACCCACACCAAGCGCAATTCCTTTCAACAGGTACCCGTTCAGACTTATACTGATCGCCAGAACCACCACGATCCACTTGCTCAATATGGGGTCGCCTACGAGTCTAGTCCAAGACGACATGAACGACTCGAGCCATTCGCCCGTGGACCCGCGTCCGGTGAGGTGCTCGCCTTCCAAGAGACCAATGCGAGCAGGGAGAAGGTAGGCGGGTGGTAAGACGCGGATGTAGATTGGGGGTGGGATCTTGACAAGAAGCTCAAACGGAGTAGAATCCCCGTCTGATTCCGTTGCATCACCATCAGACGATTCAAAATTGACAGACGAGGCATCGACTAAAGATTGCAGGACGGAACGTATCCCAGAAGCAGTGATGTCCACCTTTCGAACGTTGACACCCGCAACGTGCGGTGGTGTAGGATGCGTGGTCGTCCTCGATGGCGTCAAAGGAGTGATGAGGTTCAAGATATGCAGTGTCAAGAACGAAGCGATCTACCACCAAAACCCCATCAACACTCGTCCCAAACTGAAAATAGGCTACATACCAAAAGCAACTTGAGCCTCGCAGCCGGGTTCTCCTGTTTCTCACCACCAACCTGCACACGGAGGCTCTTCGAAGTTCCAACAACATACCCAGGCACACTGGACCCCTTTTCGCCCAGCAGAGCAGAGGAGATCTTGTGCCTCAACGTCGGAGGCGTCGCAAGGGGAGCAGGACGGACCATCGCGCTAGGTTTGCCGGAGGAAGACGAGACAGAGCTGGATCGCGAGCGGGTCATGGCTTGACTCACTGTCTTGATTCGCCTGACCTATATGATTAGGATAGACAAAAAAGATGGTTAGATTTAGAAATGAGCAGAAATGACAAAAGAAAGACGGTTCTATAACGATCGGCTGTGACTTGGGGTCTGCACACCATCCACGTGACAATCCCCGGTCAATGACATCACAGATCAAACCCCCGTTGACAATAAAGAGACAAGAATAGGCTATCCCGGTCCAAGCGAGTGGATAATGAAAAAGGGGAGCGTACACGTGACGTTCTCCAAATGAAAACGCGCGACGCGTAAAAGAAGGATGGAAGAGAAAAAAAAAACTCACCTCAATCATAACACCCAAAATCGCCGCCAAATACGTGCACAAAAGCAAACAATCCACACCCAAAATCAACGCAGCAAGCGCACACACCTCCCTCAACCCACCCACTTTACTATTCGCGCCCACAACCAACACCGCAATCTCCAGGATATAATCCCTTATAATAGGCGGATACACAAGCGTCAAACTCTCCGTGATAATCTTCGGCGCAGGCTTGAGCTGCCCAGTCCCGTTAACGACCGTCGGAGCCGAAAGCGTCGACCCCGAGGGCATAGGCGAGGTTAAATGCGGGTGGGTAAACACGGCTCTTGCGAGTCTGAGGGGCTTGTCGAAGCCGACTGTACATACGAGGAAGGGGAGTGCTTCGGTGAGTGCGACGGGGTCGATGGGGATGTGGAGGTACATGGCGATGGGGAGCGCGATGAGGAGGGCTAGGATGGCGGAAGAGAGGATGGCGAGGGGTAGCCAGAAGGAGGAACCGAGTCGGCGAGAGCGGGTGAGGAGGAGGTAAAAGGTTATGTGCATTAGGATGTACCCTGCGAGGATGAGTACGATGTCGAGGGAGTCTGCTTTCTGTGTGGAGGTGTGAGTGATTGGTGATTGGAGGGTAATTGATGGAACGAACCTTTGCGAGGTCCCAGAAACGAACGACGAGAGCACGCGCGGCATATGCAACCCATTTGCCGTGCCTCATTTGGCTGATGGCTAGTGGTTCAGCACCTTTTGCCGACTCCACCTCAAAGCGGACGCCAGCTTCATCAGAAAAGACGCGGCCGTGTCCATCGCCATTGAGACGGCGAGCGAGGACACTGACGAACTCTTCGCGCATTCCTGGGTGGAAACTGAGTGTCTGGGTGAACGTGCGGTCATTCGCTTGTTGGTGGGTAAAGCATGGGGTCGTCGTTGGAGCGCCAAAGGACCGGTTGAGAGAGTGCTGGACGGGACGGTGGCATATGCTAGGATACGTTCGCCCGTTCGTGGATTGTAAAGAGTGGGTGAGGTAGTTTGTAAGGTTGAGTGTAGATGAGGATAGTGGTTCGGAGGCGAGAGAGATATCTGCGGGGATGACCTAGTGACGGTCGGTTTATAAAGTCAAAGACGGAGAGGTAGAATAAAAACGTACGTCTCTGTACCTCTGTACAGCATCGAGGGAGATGATGACCTGTTGTATTTCAATAGGGGTGGTCCTAGAATTTTCACGTACGCCGACCCATTCGCCCAGTCTGTACAGAGCATGAGCAGGACGTAGGGCTGGGGTGGACGTATGTGTGGGTGCGAGGAACGCAGAGTGCTTGATAGCAGAGAGGATGTGAAAGTAGGCGAGTGTTCCGATAATGGAGAAGAAGACGATGGTTTCTATGGGTGTGTAGGCTGCATGGAGCGCGAACGGACGCAAGAGGGCTCGCATTTTCGCTAGCAAGTCAACTCCTACGAAGGACACAAAAAGCAAGACGAAAGAAACGTCAAAGAGACGTGAAAGAAACCGTGTCAGTCAGGGGGAAACGAAGAATGAAAGGCCCACAGTCGTCGTACGATTCACAACAGACTTTTTATGGACTCAAATCTGAACTAACCAGCTCACTACCCCAAAATGGCAATGAGACCCCAGTCACCCCTTATCCTTCCGTTCAATTCAATTCCCCGCACAGCTACTTCCAGAACGGCTTCATCGTCTTTCCGCGATCCATCTACGTCTCTTCTAAGCTACCCAGAGTCCTTTTCGAATCTTTGCAGCTGCTGCTTCTGAATCCAACTCTCTCAGCGTCTGAATCCCATATCCACAACGGCCTCAGGCTATTGTTCAGTGGGGCAATATAAACAGAGAACAAAAACGTTTGCTTTCTATTGGCTTCCGACGTCATACCAAATATGCCTTATCCTTTCCCAGTTCAGCCCACCCTCAATTTAATCGTCACTTCGGTCAATTCGCCACTATCCCCGTACGTGTACTCGAACAACAAAAGTCGAACAATTCCCTGGTGGTCCGACCTTTGGGTATGCAGAGGGCTATATTTATGACGCATTGCCTTCTTCGTCCGATCACATCTAATCTTACCGGACCATTCAACTACATCACACCACTATCAATGGGCTCACTCTGGTACTAGGCGACGAGCGTCTACGAGTAGCACTGCCGCCTTATCACATACAGCAATGACGCCACGACAATTTTCGATGTCTACTCATTCATACCTCCCAGAAAGCGCCCCCGACATGACGCGAGAACATCAACCGCCTTCAATTCGCAAATGAACATCGGCACCACCCCCAAACGACCTCCGATCCAACGCGCTCCGGTTCCAAAAACCCATCCTTTCCCGGTCCACAATCGTCCATAGGAGTCTTCCTCAGCCCGGATCCGAGTCGTCGTCACGGTAAATAACATGACACTCTCCAACATTTTAACATCTCCTTACAGAATCAATATCGCAGGCATCACTTCCCAAATAACACACGGCCCGAGATCTAGCTGACCCAGGTTTCGCTGGATTCCCCGCCCCTACGTACGATGATCATGGACCTACTTACTGCTACCCAGAACAAACTTTGCACGCACCCATGTTTTGATGCGGACCCACAGATAAGAAGGAAGGAAGACACCGGTGGAGGTACCCTGATGTCGATCATCTGGTGCTTTGGCGCTTGGAATAACCATCACTAAGCCTCACGTTTTTCACTGTAAGAAAAGTACGGATGCCACTGAACAAAAAAGCGGTCATAGCGCAGTGTGGCCAACACTGAGAGTCGACGGGACAAATGAATAACTTCAACATCGGTGGGTTCGACTCCCATACCAGTAATTGTGTAGCCAAATGAGACCATTTTTTATCTTAACCAAAGAAACACGCGCCGGTCCCCAACACCTTTCAAAATCAATATCAAAACGGTGTCCACATCAAGGCAGACATAGTTTAAGTGCATACAGTCAGCGTTGCGTTAACGAAACTCCAACCAACGCGGGGCGGGAACGACTACTTAGTAGCTCGTTGGGTTCGACTCCCATTGCTTGCATTCGTGACTTTCTTGTTTCATTTTGAATATTTGAATAATCACCCTCAGGCTGGTACCCATTATTGTCAGCACCAGCGACTCTAAACCAACATTTCGGCCAACACGAACAAGTGGCAAGCGGTCATGGTGCAGTCGCGTTTCAATTGACTCTGCCGGGACGAAGAAACAAGTAGGTCGTTCAATGGGTTCGACTCCCATACCCGGCGCTCGAGTGCGGCTAGAAAGTCTTTTTACCTTGGACAACTCGCTGACCCCTACCATTTTGATCAAAAACAACCTTTCGCTAACAAGGTCAGTGGCAACCGTGGTGCAACTGCATGTTGCATGTTTGGACTCACTGGACGGTGCACCATGGCATGAAGAAGAAAGGGTTCGACTCCCACTTGCCACGTAAATCTTGTTGGAATGGCTATTTTATTTTCCGAGTGCGCACATTCATGATCAGACAACTGATAACGGTTTTCACGGCGCTGATAGCGATACGCAGGTTCAACTCATATACGCCATAAGACGCGGTGAGCTGTGGATGGTTTCTTTACCAACCTGACATTGGCGTTAAGAAAAAAAAAATGTTATAGGAAAAGAAAGAAAGTTGTACTTAAAAGCTGGTACCTCGAACGCGGGGAACAAGGTCGTTGAGTTCAATCAATGGTGCAACATTCAGGTGAGGAATATTTTTTTTCTCTGTTGATCTCGAATAACACCCGCCGATCTCCAGTGTCCAAACCAACAGATCGTTAAACCTTCAGCGGCGGATACGTATGACACAATCATCATGAGAAGAAAAATATGGGTATAGGCATCAGTGGCCATGGTGCAGTTGCATTCGCTGAATACCACACACACACGACAAGGGTTCAAAGTTGGTTTCGACTCCCACTCGCGATATACATGGAAAAGGTGCGCTTCAGGCTTTTTGTCTTGAACGCTCTCAGGGGCAATCGGCCACAGGTATGGTATACAAGGTATGCACTACCTAGCTTTCAATTGGCACGTTAGGGGTGTGCACTGTTAAATTTCAGGTCGGTGATTTACATCTCCTGCCTCCAACTGAATAATCTTTTCCTTTCGAGGAACGCTTGCACATCCTTAGCAGTTTTATACCAAGATTCCGCTTGCTCTTCAATATCCAGCAGCGATATGGTAGAAGCGCATGCAGCTATTGCCAGTCACTTCACCAGGTGTGGGTGCAGCGCACGCTTCGGGTTCGACTCCCACTCGCCGCCTACTAAGACAATTTCAATGTGCGTTAATCTTTTAATCATGTGTTCAGGTTTGAAGCTGAGCGCTGACCTCTAAGTACTCTTTCAGACAGCTCACGGTGGCTTCAATAACTTTTCGGAGCGGTGGAGATGACGATAGGAATGGCTATTGACACGCGGCCCATTGAACGTTCGCTGCCAACAAGTACGTATATGGGTATGGGTAGCAGCCACGGTATCGAATGACTTCAAGTTCGATGTATTCGACTCCCATCACTCACGCACCGAAAGGAATGAATAAAATCGAACGCGACACTCACCGACAAAAACAGAGCTCGTGGTGCAGTTGCGGAGGCATTGAAAATGCTAACGCGTGACAGGGAAAAGGCTGCGGCGGTTGGGTTCGACTCCCACTCACGATGTTGCTGCCTTCAACTTTTTCCATCTTCGAAAACCTCGCAGATGATCCCCGATGCCCAATAGTTGATAATAATAAAAATCAGCAATTCGCCAATACCGTCTACGGCGGATATGGTGTAGTACAAGCGTATGCACCTAGCGTCGCTGAGGTACGGTGGCAGGCATCCGAGCGCGTATTCGCCGCTTATTTGGGTTGATTTATCATTTTTCCACGTGGCAGATTGATGCACCGCAACCTGCGGTCCCGTTTTTGGTCGGTCAACATCTCTCCACGGCGAAACATTCAAGCTGGCGCGAAGTGTCTTCCATGAACATCAGACCTGGCACATATAAGAGAGAAGACACCGGTGAAGTCATCTGATGTGGTAGTTTGGCGCCTCATCATCAAGCCTCCGTTCTCAACCGATGTGAGAAAAGTACGGATGCGACTGACAAAAAAAAACGGTCATAGTGCAGTGTGCAGTGTGGCCAACACACGGGACAAAGGAATAAGTTGCTCGGTGGGTTCGACTCCCATACCCGTAATCTGCCAGATGGGTGTGTTGTTTATTTTGATCTACTACTAGACGCGCTGATCCTCGACACCTTGAGCACAGTAGCCTCATTAAGGGCCAGCGTCAAGCATAGCCCAAGTGCACACAGTCAACGTTGCGTCAACGCGGGCGGGAACGACTAGTAGCTCGTTGGGTTCGACTCCCATTGCTTGCATTGACAGACGTTTTGATCACAGTACCCAGCTATTCTATGCCAGCCAACTTCACAATAAGTGACAGCGGTCATGGTGCAGTCGCATTTCAATTGACTCTGCAATAATACCACGTGCGGGACGAAGAACAAGAGCAGGTCGTTTAATGGGTTCGACTCCCATCCTCGGATATCACCATATCGAAACAGACTTTTTATCTTGAACAACTTGCCGAACCTCATCATTTTGATCAAAATCAACCTTTCGTTGATGGCAAACATGGTGCAACTTGAGTGTGTGTTTGGACTCACTGGCCATTAAGAAGGAAGGGTTCGACTCCCACTTGCCGCGTCATAGGTGTCTCCCCCGGCTATTTTATTTTCCGAGTGCGCACATTCAGACAACTGATAACGGTTTTCACGGTGCAAGTAGTAACGATGATTCTCTATCTCGAGCCTACACAGGTTCAACTCATATGCTATATCAAGACGCGGTAGAGCCGTGGATGGCTTTTACTACTCCAACCTGACATTGGCTTTAAGAAGAAAAATATGGGTATAGCTCTCCTCAAAAGCTGGGACCTCGAACGTGCCAGGAAACAAGGTTGGGTTCACTCACTGGTGTACGCTTAGGTCAGGAATGTTTTTTTTTCGTATGGTTTATCTCAAATAACATCCGCCGATCCCCGCTACTAAGCAGCCTGTTCAAACCAAAGGATCGCTAACACTTCGGCGGCGGATACGTATAACACAATCGTCATGAGAGGAAAAATATGGGTAAGTATAGACAATACAACGAGCAGCGCCTATGGTGCAATTGGTTTCCAAAAGCACAAGCGCGACGGGCCCAGCAGGAAATTCAAAGTTGGGTTCGACTCCCACTCGCGATATGTGTCAGTATAGGCGTTAGGCTTTTTGTCCTGAACGCAATCGGCGACAGGTATGGTATACAAGGTACGCACTGCCTACCGTCACTTATAACGTACATACGTGTGCACTGCTGTTACATAAATTCCAAGTCAACAATCTAAATCTCCTACGTTCAATTGAATAATTTTTTCGTCTTCAAGGACGCTTGCCTCAGCAATTTTATCCCAATATTCCGCTTGCTCTTCAAAATTCAGCAGCGATATGGTAGAAGTGCATGCTGCTAACGTCACTTAGGTGTGGGTGCAGTGCACGCGTCGGGTTCGACTCCCACTCGCCGCCTTGGTGGCTGATTAAAATATTTTAATCATATATTGAAGTTTTAAACTGACCTCTCTCCGAAGTACTCTTCCGGACAGCTCACAGTGGCTTCAATCATTTTTCAAAGCGGTGGAGGTGACCCTATTACATGCGGCCCGTTGAACGTTCGTTGCCAACAGCCGCGGTACAGTTGCATTCAAAACCGGAGTAACAACACTCGAGGACTCCAAGTTCGACTCTGCATCACTCACCCACCGAAAGGAATGAATAAAATCGAACGCGACATTGACCGACAAAATAAAAGTCGTGGTGCAGTTGCGCGATAGGGAAAAAGGCTGCCGCGGTTGGGTTCGACTCCCACTCACGATACTTATTCTGTGCTGAACAAACCATGATTTTTCTTATCTTCAAAAACCTCGCAGATCCCCAGGCTTGCTTTTGTTGTATTAAAAATCGGCAATTTTAATTTATGGTGTAGTACAAGCGTCGGTGAAGTGTGGCACTGGGCACCTGAGCACGTATACTTATAAGGATGTCAACTCCCACTTGCCGCTTGATTCACTTGGAGCGGTTGACCTCGAGTTTTGGCAAGTAACCGCATTGATCATTTATGATTCTTCAACGCGGAAAGTTGATGCAAAATTCCCCAGCGCTACCGTTTGGTCGGTCAAGTTCACTCCCCGAGTCTCCAAGGCTAAAAATAGCTGAACATTCCAGTTGGAGTGAAATGTCTGCCGTGTACGCGACTTTGGGCAGTTAACGTCGAGTCTAGGGTTTCATTCCAAGTGTCCCACAGCGTTGCAATTTTTTGGTCGCCAGTTGGCAGAGTAAGTTATTTTTTGAGGGCGTCAATGCTCCGATCTGAGCAGCTGACACAATTGTCGGATGTAACCAGACTTACAAGTGAAATGTCGGAATGAATTTTGGCAAAGTAAATGCTTTGCCACTTGGACTCGCCCGAAGATGAAGGGAGACATTATCATCTCCTAGGCCGTTTCTACATATTGGCAATTGCAATTAAGATGGGTATCACAAAAAGCTCGGGAGAAAATCTCCCACCCAGTTACCTGTCGGTAATGGAATAAACCGCGTAGAGTGACTCCTCGACTCACGTTCTTGAGTTCTAGATCAACGATTTATAGTCAATGCATACCTCTCACTAATTTTACATCAGTTACGGTCATACAAATACACACTACCGCTTGTTGACCGCTTGGACCAAATTATCCTCACAAAAACGTTTTTTGGAGTTGTAGAATTTCGAGGGTGACGCCAGTGGCACATGACAGGTGCAACGAGGCATACCTCCTGAACCCGAATTGTCGTGGACAATGTAGCGTCCAAATTTGAACGCCGGGCAGGTCAACGATTCTCGGTTCGTAAGAGCGGTGATCGTAGAATTCATGGCTGGGTTTAACTGCACCCTTACAATCCCAAAGAAATGAAGCAGGCTGCAGAAAATAACCTGCTCTTGCCTCGGAAGGAGTACCCAGCCGTCGCCCAGCCTACCAAGGTCTACACGCGCTTTGTTGCAAATTCGCGGGACCCACGATTTCACAATCGCAATGTGTAGGACGCTTGTGACCGCCCACGGAACATCCACACCGAGCTAATGCAGGGTAATCTGTAAACAAACTTCAGGATTTTCCGTTCTGGTTACCCTTCTAACCATTGTCGGAAAGGCAGTCCGAATTGACCGGGAATGATAGAATGCCGTATGGAACTCCCAACTACTCCCAAGAGATCCTCGAGGCATACAGGAGCTTCGGTTACGTATTCAAGCCACCGATAGGGAGAATGCGCTGAGTCATATGGAAGATGGTGGAGACGCAAATGTGCAAGTGCATCATAAGATCGGTCTTGCGACCCACTACGCTCTTGTGGGTGCAAGGGTGCGCGAAAGGCTGAAGCCTCCGGACACCCAGATAACAATGGGAGGTGCGATTGAGCAATGCAGAGATGCAGCCTCATTTTGACGCCATGTGTTTCCAACTCAGAGGCCTAGGTTAGGCTGTTGTGTGCAATTTCAAACAAGGGATCCGTCAGTGCTGTCACCGCTCTATGGCAATAATTGTAAAGTTTGAAACATGGGAAATTCAAAGCCTACAAATTTACCTATGGGCACATCTGAACGCAGTAAGAAAAGTCACTCACTGCTCATTGCTGAAGCGTCCTTGAACCTTGGCTTGAACTTTCAGAAATCTACGATCAACACTCAATTTTCTGTTCCGGGTTTTCGAATGTCATAGTCGACAAGCCACAAGTGAAGGCGCGAATGTTTTTTGGTCAGCGGATTTATACCGTCCAGAAGAAAACCAAAAGAAAACAGGAGATGGTACCCTGAGAGTAACCGGCCCGGAATAACCGCCGGTTGAACTTTAACCACATAACTATACAGTACCTCGGCTTCGGCGATTCCCGACGACCACAAGCAGTCAACACAAACCTCAAGACCAGCTCATCGTCGTCGCCGCCAGCCTTCAAGATGGTCAACATCCCCAAGTACGGTTTTCAATAAGTCTTTCTACATTGGAGTTGTGCTGACGATATTTCCTTTCATAGGACACGCAGAACTTGTGAGTGTTTACGAACCAGGGCACTGGACTAGGACCGATATAACTTTCTCCAGACTGCAAGGGCAAAACATGCAAGAAACACACGTACGCTGCTAGTATATTGCTATTAGAGGGTATCTGACGTTGGCGTTTTCATAGACCGCATAAGGTGACGCAATACAAGAAGGGCAAGGATTCCCTCTTCGCGCAAGGGAAGCGCCGTTACGACCGCAAGCAATCAGGGTATGGTGGTCAGACCAAGCCTGTCTTCCACAAGAAGGTGTGTGGCGAGCATCGTTTCGGCTGTCGTTGGAGACTGATTGCGTGCATCGATGGAAATAGGCAAAGACAACGAAGAAGGTCGTGTTGAGGCTGGAGTGCAATGTGTGCAAGTACAAAATGCAGCTTACCCTGAAACGTTGCAAACAGTGCGTGCTGCCGTTCTCCTTGGTTCGATGCATACTGATTATTCGTTTAGTTTCGAGCTTGGTGGAGAGAAGAAGACCAAGGGTGCTGCTCTTACTTTCGTGGGTCCAGTCATTTTTCTTGCCGCGCTCCGTGGTAGCTGACATGTCTTCTCGAGTAGTGAGCGTCTCATTTTCTACTTCTATGTCGCATTTGTTCTCCACTGCCACCTACTACGAATATGATATGCTTGCATGCCCACTCGGTCTAAGATTTCGGTCAAATGGCGGTGCTGTTCTCGCTCACGGCTTGGGTGCATGTCGCATCGGCGACGGGAACTATATCCCACTCGGCCGACATGTAGCAGTTTAATGACGACCATAGCTTGGAACACCTTTCTGACGCCTGTAATCTTTGACATTTGATGAGCCACCTGCTTTCCGTCCGATAACAAGTATCCGAGAGATTCTATTCCAGATTCGAATCTCGGTGAGCATATACATCTACCTCCAGTTTTTTCCCGAGCACTGTTCAAGATCTCACAGCATCCCATTCAATGAGATAGTCGTGAAAAACAATGCTCTCTACATACCAGTAACCACTATCTACATTTTTTCAAATGACTTGACAGTGGCGGGACTAACCCCAAAGAGTGAGATCCGTCGTAATCCGACGGCAACTCGTCTCCCCATCAGCTGATTGGGTGCGATATAATCGATGGCTAAATTTACCAAGCCAAATAAAAAGCTTCTCCGTTACCTACCTCTCTCTTCCTCCCACCACCAACTTCTAAGTATTATTATCTATACCGTTCTCTAAAATGGTACGTTGTATATGCCTTTCTTCTGTTGCACGTCCTGAATCCATTTGATAGGTCAAAGTTGGTATCAACGGGTAAGGGTTACTCCTTATCTATAGGGGCACTCAATAACGCGCCTTCATCTTCCTCTCCCATAGATTTGGTGAGTACTCAATTCAACTCTAATAGGCTTATAACCAACGCGATTTAGGTCGCATTGGCCGTATTGTTTACCGCAATGCTCTCGAGTTGCAAGATATTGAAGTCGTCGCCATCAATGAGTGAGTGGCGCGATGCTCATTTTTTCACATACTCAACGGACTTGTGCAGCCCTTTCATCGACCTCGAGTACATGGTCCGTTTCTTTCTCTTTACCCCGTACATCGGTTCTCTTAACTCAACCGATGAACTTTTACCCAGGTCTACATGTTCAAGTACGATTCCGTGCACGGACGATTCAAGGGAACCATCGAGGCCAAGGATGGCAAGCTCATTGTCAACGGCAAGCCCGTCACCATCTTTGGAGAGCGCGACCCCGCTGCTATTCCATGGAGCTCGGCCGGTGCTGAGTACATTGTCGAGTCCACCGTGCGTCCTCCTTCCTCTTCTGATTTTGACCATTTGATGCTGATTACCGTGTTCCGTTTTGCAGGGTGTCTTTACCACCACGGAGAAGTAAGCCTTTAACATTTCCTACTGAAGCATCCTGATCGATTGTCAACATCATAGGGCTTCAGCACACTTGAAGGGTGGCGCGAAGAAAGTCATCATCTCTGCCCCATCAGCCGACGCACCCATGTTCGTGGTCGGTGTCAACCTCGACAAGTACGACCCCGCCGTCAAAGTCGTGCGTGCACATCTATCCTCCATTTTCTTCTTGTATTAATTCAGGGAACTACAGATCTCGAACGCGTCCTGCACGACCAACTGCCTCGCCCCTCTTGCCAAGATCATCCACGACAACTTTGGTATCGTCGAAGGTTTGATGACTACCGTCCACGCCACCACCGCGACTCAGAAGACCGTCGACGGCCCCTCGCACAAGGACTGGCGTGGCGGACGTAGCGTCAACAACAACATCATCCCCTCGTCCACTGGTGCTGCCAAGGCCGTTGGCAAGGTCATCCCTTCGCTCAACGGGAAGCTCACGTACGATCTCCTCCTTTTGCCGTGTCTTTTCATTGCTTACTTTTGCCTTTGCTCCCCGATATAGCGGCCTCGCATTCCGTGTGCCCACCCTGGATGTATCCGTCGTCGACCTTGTCGTGCGCACCGAGAAAGCTGCGACCTACGAAGAGATCAAAGCCACCATCAAAGCTGCCGCCGAAGGCTCTTACAAGGGCATCGTCGAGTACTGTGAGGACCAAGTCGTCTCCACCGATTTCATCGGCCACACCGCTTCGTCCATCTTCGACGCGGGCGCTGGTATCCAGCTGAGCCCGAACTTTGTCAAGCTTATTTCTTGGTATGATAATGAGTGGGGGTACTCTCGCCGTGTTTGCGACCTCCTCGTCTACGCTGCTACTCAGGACAAGAAGGCTGGGGTTTGAGAGAAAGGGCGGATAGTCGGAATTGGTGAAAGGCTTTAGATATCATCGAAACCAAAAAGAAAGGAAATGTTTATGCTGTAATTCTATAGGGGCTTGTCCTCAGATTGTGCTTCTACCATCGCGAGACCGTGTTACACAGATATATACACTCGTGTTCAAAGAAGTCTGTTTGCTTAAGGGTAGAGGGTAGAGTACACAAAGTGTGGCGAACCTTTACACGAACAGTATATGAAAAGAAGTTTATTGCAACCACTCCAGTAGTACATGTTTAAGTCGTTCATTAGCATGTCCGCGCCAGAAATGAGTAGCATTCCCAACTTCAACGATATTCAGCCTGTCACTTGTCCCAGAATGAGTCTCCAGTTCAGCCACCCACGTTCTATAACTCGATATGGACGTGAACTCATCCTGGTCCCCGAAAACCACAAGCACGCGGGATGTAGAGGACTTGATGAGGTCCTCTAGTCTCTGGGCGTATGTTGATGATCGGAACAAGGTGAGCCATGATCTGGGACCGAGGGGGTAGGATAGTAGGACGTGTGAGGTTTGTACTGGAGCCGGGAGAGGTGGTTGGAGGGAGGCAATTAGGGAGCCATGGGAGTAGCCCTAAGATACGTATGGGTTGAGTGACCAACGTATTGAAAGTACAGAATTGAACGTACAATTATAACGACGGAGCTAACGTTGGAAAGATGATCAAGTGTCCAACGTATTATGGCTTCCAAGTCCTTTGCCTCGTCAAAACCAGTGAACGACGCTCGGCCAGTCGACCTGCCGACGCCTCGCGAATTGTATCGGAGGACATGGTAGTTCTTGGAAAGTAACGGATCGACCAGAGAGTCAAGGACACTTCAATTGAAGCTTTTAAGAGGTGTAAGTAAGTACCAGAGGGGTATGGATGACCCACGGATCCTGCATTCGACCACCGAGCCAGGACCAAGGGTGGAGACATATGGCTAATTTCGTTCCCTCTGAATGGGTGGTGGGTGGTGGCTTTGAAAGAATAGTTTCGAGAGAAACGCCTGTGGGTAGGTTGATAACCTCAACGTTTGGCTGCATGAAGTCCGGAACCGTGACTTCACGGCACAGCGCAGCAGCCTGAGTGTCGAAAGCCTGCGAATCGATGAAAAATAGCGAAGTAAGCGGTCTCTTGTGACGAGATAGTTGATTTCGTAATATCCGTTCAAACCAGTTCTTCATCGACCACGACAATCGAACGACTCATCGACGACTCATCGAACACTCCAAACTCGATATCTCTCATATTAACACACATTATTTCATGGCGTCCAACAGGATGTTAGAAAACGCTACCGGAAATACCTTTTCAGGGAATGCACAGTTCTACAACGCTGACCATGTCACGATTGTACACGGCCCTCCTTCTGCAGGTACGTTCAGGCTGTATTTCAGCCACCTCTTTCAGTACAATTCACTATATCTAGGTCTCTCGCAATTGCTTAGGCCTGTCAGTAACGCGACACACACCCGCTCAGGTCCAGTCGCAAAGTGTGATCCTGGCACTCGCCTCGCAGTGATTGACACGATCAAGAAATGGCTTAATATGCGTAATAAGCAATCTGTTTGTTGGCTTAACGGGCCAGCTGGTTATGGCAAATCTGCACTATCGCAAACCATTGCGCAGCTCTATGCCGACGAGGGCAGGCTTTTAGGCAGTTTTTTCTTTCTTCGGGGTGCTGGGGATCGCAGTCACATTGCACGCCTAATTCCCACCCTTGCGCACCAGATCTTCATCTCTGTGCCCGCCACAAAACCGCTGATTGACCGGGCTCTCGAAGAAGATAGCACCTTGCTAGACACTTCAGTCTCTATTGTTCACCAGTTCCGAAGACTCATCATGAACCCACTATCTTCCCTCTCCATTCCCTTTCAATCTTTTTTTGCCAAGTCAAAGATCCTTGTCATCGATGGTCTTGATGAGTGTGATGACAAGGCTCAAATGGCGGAACTTATTGACATGCTGATTGACATATCTCAAAGGGGCCAGCTCCCTTTTCGCATCTTTCTTACTAGCAGAGTGGAAGAACATATCCGGAAGAAGTTCAATGATGCCAGGGCTCACTCAGTCTTGTACTGCATAGACTTGAATGCTTTTGATGCTCGCCCTGATATCCAACTATATTTTGAACAGCAGTTTGGTCGTATCTATGATCAGAACCTCCCAATCATGCGGAGGATCTCACAGCCTTGGCCATCCTCTGGAGCTCTCTCTGTGCTTCTTGATAAAGCTGGTAGCTCATTCATGTTTGCTGCCACACTGGTTCGATTGGTTGGAGAAGATTCCATGCCATATAAAGTCTTGCAGGAAGTTCTGGACTCTGAGTCCAATAGTCTGGATCCACTCTACAAACAAGTTCTTTCTTCTGCTTCTCAAACACCAGCCTTTTGTCGACTTATTGGATCTATCATGATTCTGCAGACCAATCAGTCTATCAATTCTCTTAGCTTGCTCCTTGCCACCGAAGCTGGAGAGATTGTCCTTGAGCTTTTGAAAGTACAATCAATTATTAAGATTCCTGGGGATGATAGGGAGCCGATCATGCTCTATCACACATCTCTCCGAGATTTTCTGACCATCAAATCACGATCAGAAAATTACTTCATTGATCCTCCTTTGCAACATCTTCATATGGCTGTCACCTGTTTGGAATGTTTGGTGAAGGATTCCTCAGAAGATTTTTTTAACATTAGTATTCCAAGGTATGCTATTGCTGAATGGCCACATCATATTATTTTAGGATTACAAGAACAAGAACGAATTTGGGATGAAGCTATCGTGGACAAACTGGTATTGCATCTTGAAAATTTTGTTACATTGCAGGGAGAAAAATGGTATAATACCTTACAAGCTATGCATGAGGATGCAGAGGAGATACCAGGATGGGTAGATGCAGTGAAGTTGTGTCAGGTAAGTCATAACAATTTATTTAATTACTTACCATCAATATTTGAAATAAGGCAAGAAGAACATCAACAGCTGCAAAGACATTATTCAGAATATTACAAGATATCCTTGATTTTTATATTGTAAGAACAATTGACCTAAATGCACATATTCATTCATCAAACAC